ATTTATTTAAATTTATTTACATATTTTAATTAAAAAATTAATTTATTTGGATAAATGACATTTTTCATGGACTTCATCAATCGTTTCCTTCTCACGTCTTTGCGGTATATTCGTACACTCTAAGAAACCGGGTAACTAAATTATTACCAGGCGAAGATTTATGTGACTCTACTGCAAGGTAATTTATTTATTATTGAGTGGAAGAAAATTAGTTACGAACTGGTAATATTTTCAAATTTCGCGATTTCCGCTTTGGGGTAGAGTCACATAGGCAATCCGCCTGGTAATAATTTTGTTACCGGGTTTCTTAGAGTGTAGGTAAATTTAAGCTAATCAAGTGCCAATAATGACGATGAGACTGGTATAAAAATATAAAACACGAATTCGAGACGAGGACATAAAACCAATCTAAAATGAGCAGGCATAATAATTATTTTAATATATGTATGTATTGCAGTTCCAATACGATGCTTATTTATTTAGTACATAATGATATCTTCGGTAGAATATTGTGGATTACTTTTGGCAATCTAAATAATTATTGTGAATATATACCGTCTATCCTACTTAAGTATTAAAACAACCGAGAAAATATGAATGATTATCTACGTACTCTCTATTTATTATAGCAAGTCGTTCAAAATCACAAGTAGGCTAATATTAAACGTCGGCCGTATCGCAAGAAAACTGGTATGGAGACATATTTGTGTAACTACACGGTCAGAAATCTGGCATAGTCAGGCTAGCTTGGTATTGCTTTCTCTACATTATAAATATGTAGGTGGTACCGCTTGGTATTACAATTATTGCGGTATTATTTTTCTACCGAAATTGTAAAACGTTAATACCGAGAAATTTTGTACTAATGACTTATACGTAAGCTATTACTTACTTATCCACAGATAGACTTTGATATATGAATACCGGCTGGAATTATTAAGTAGTGTCAGCTACTTGTTGCGATCGTTTTGTCCGTCCGTCTGTCTGTCTGTCTGTCCGTAGGCAGGATATCTCCAGAACGAGTCAACATAATCAAACCCCGTTCCCGCCATTGTGCTTCTAATTTTTAGTTCTCGGTCGAGTTCGAAAATGGGGTCAATTGGACCACCCCCCACCCCGCCAGTGGGTGTGGTCCAAAATTAAATTCACGTTAATTTTCATATGGGGTATCATTTTAAAGGAAATTTCGCCACGAATTCAACGACATCAATATTTTTGACCTTATGACCTTGAGGACGAGGTCAAAAGTCAAAATATACATAATTGTCATATGGGGTGTCATTTTAAAGGGAATTTGACTGCGATTTCAAGGACGGTAATATTTTTGACCTCATGACCTTTAGGAGGAGGTCATATACGGAGAAACGTTAAAGGAAACTGGAATCGCTCTGACGCTACTTATTTACATTCGTTTGGAGGGTTTATTTATTTTAATACTGGGACTCTGAAAGTGTAAATTACGTGGCTGGCTATAATAGATGTGGAGTACATTAGATACATATGCACATGTAATTTCTTTTACAAGAGAAATGTTAATACGCATATCTAAATAAATGCCGTGCCGAATATAATTGTTCTTTTTTGATAAGAAATGTCTTATAATCGCATTGCTATTGCTTACTCGACATACCGCCATCCTGGTACGAGAAACGTCCCCAAAAGACAAATAAAATGTTACGTACCAAAGAGCTCTTCTTTATCCTAATCTTTATCAATTCTTCCGTGAAAAGTAACCCAAGTTCCTTATCTTTCGCCGGGTTTCAAAAATGTACCATCAACTTAAATCTATTAAGCAGAATCGAATTCAAACTCGACATTGCAGAAAATTTAGTCTCAACTCAAGCAGAAAACATGAACTATTTGAAGTTAACAATTTACCTTGGCTACAATTTCACTGCTTCCTTATCCTTCCACGCTCCCAACAAAATTCATCTCGACGGCAAATTCTGTTCCGTCATAATTTTCATGGAAAAACGAACTCCAGAATTTTACAGATATTTCATAAAAAATAATTTATTAACGTCTCGAACCCTGACGTCATACATTTTCATACGCCATTATTCATTCCCTGAAAAATTTGAGTGGACCCACCCCGCGAGAAAATTTCACTGGGTTATTTCCCTCCTCTACAAAAGAAGACGGGTAGAAATCGCTGGAACCCGGATTTTGATGGAATGTCCGCTTTGTAAAGATGGGTTCATCGACGTCCCAAATTTTACCGAGATTCTAAGAGACCATATTCCCCCAAAAGAATGGGATGTTTCCACCGGTAAAAATATACTGGTAACGCATTGTCCCGCCGAAGAGGAGACCACTTCCCCCAAAAATTGTCCATCCTCTCCATGGATACTTCAATCCCCCGGAACTTCTACGATTTATGTACATGCAGTCGACCTGTCAAAGTGGGATGGTCACGTTTCAAATCATTTCCGAACATGTCAACATAACTCCCGCGCTTCGATACGTTTCCGACTTTGGTGGGAAATTCATACCAATCCATGGTTCCGCATTTTTTCAGGAAACACCCGGCTTATTTGAAACTTCGGGATCAAACTCGTTTCGTTTAATGCATTCCTACAGGATATTTTACTGTTATGATAAGTATTCCACGGGGGAGGTAGAGATGCAAATGGCCATGTGGATTTCCCCCTTCGATCCGTGGGTGTGGGGGGCATTGATAAGCAGCCTTATCACCAGTGGAGTCCTAATTGGACAAAAATTCGATCTAGTTTTCAAAATCTCACACTTTTTAGAAAATGTCTGGCTGCTTATCGCCGAACTATTGATACAACCTTCTTATCGCGGCACAAATGATAAGTACTTTGTCGCTCAAATAGTATCACTCAATTTGCTAATGGTGTCTTTACTTTACGAAAATTTAATTACGACCCGCGTCGTCGCGCCAAATTTGACGCAACCGTATCAAAATATAGTACCGCTTTTTAACGCCGGATTTAAACTCTGCCACTCCTATTGCTCATGGCTTTTCTAAAGAAATCGCGTTCAAATTTAAAACGGGGCCGCTTATGACTCTGCTGCAGGGTACCAGTGAGATTTTTTCTAAGGGCCGTATGAAAACTCAAAACCTACAGTGTAGACTTGATATAGCCCGAGTCAGACCAACGTGATTATCCCTCAATCCCACTTTTTGAATGAAATTTTATCGTAAATGCATATCAAAAAACAATTTAAAAATTTAAATTGACTTACTTTTCCAACTTAAAAATTTAAAATTGATTTTTCCAATTTAAAAATTTAAATTGATTTTCCAATTTAAAAATTTAAATTCATATTCTTCTAACAGTATCAATTAGCAGCCTATGTAGCAAATTTCAGCTTGATACGACGATTTAAAAAATCCGTAAAGGTCACCCAATAGGCTCCCTCCAGATAAAAATTGCCGATTTTAAGTCATATTGTTTAAGCCAAAAGCAACCTCGGCAATTTCAGCTCTATATGACAATTTTGAAAAATACGTATGGGTCAACCTACTCCAACTGGGTTCCTCCTCCTTTGTTACAAAACAAAGAATGGATTATGGGCCAGTGCATACGGCACTATCTGCATATTCACACGATGGTGGTGGTGTATGTACGCAAATGAGTTTAAGCGGTGAAAAACCCGATTTCTTTAGATCTGACAAAAGCAATACACGTACAAAAGCGACGACGCTTACTTTCAAAACGAGACAAATCAAGCCATAATAATTGAGGAGGATTACAAATTTGATTTTGAAAGGAAACAAATTTCGATTAAAAATTTACTAAAATTTGTCTACTTGGGGACAAAAGGTTCGGAATACGGGTCGTTTTTTCAGCAGAGGATGCAAAATAAGGAGGCAATTGTGGACCCGTTACCGAATCGGGCTTTATTCCGTCTCGCCCAGGAAAACGTATCAGCCAGCAAAAAGTGCAGCTTGGTGGACGATTTTTCCTTCAATATGAGACCATTATTTGACCTGTACGAGATTCATGGTTCCCATCATTTTGCGAGATTGAGTAGGCGCCTAGAGGAATTCGGGGTGTATGAGTTTTGGTCGAAGCTGGACCTGTGGGGGGTGAAATTTCGCAATAAGAGGGCTTATCAGAGGAATCATTTGGACAGAAATTTGTACAAGATTGAGTCGAATGATTGCTTAGTTCACCTGAGTAATTTGAAAATGGTGAATTATGTCTGCCTAGTTTTCTTGGTGGGGGCAGATGTCGTATTTATGCTGGAGAGCAGGGTGCCTTATTTGTACGTTATTTTTTGTCGACAGCGAAACTAGGGTAACTCCAGCTTCTTAAGTGGTACCGTAATTACATACTGTACATATTTAGATAACTGTACTTATCCTTAGTACATACGTGAAAAAATCAAACTAAAGTATGTTTGTATATTAATATAATGAATTTGTATAATGAGAGAAAAGTATGCATGCAAAATAAATTAATTGCACCACTCAAAGAAATAAGTGCATACATTTAAATAGATGAAACTATCAATGAAACTAGGTATGAATGGTGAATTCCAAATAAAAAATCAGTAATTTACACATACAGCAGTAAATCTGTCCAAAAAATTAATGAATCGGTACGTACATATTTTTCTACAAATTTAAATATATACATATGCACTGCCAAAACTACATAAATATGTAAGTTATATTTTTGAAAAGTAAATGGATTCTTAATTTTATATTTATCTATGTGGTTTAAACTTTACTGAATCCAGACGTTAATCAAGAGGAAACTTTACTCTGGATTTCGTATAATACGTATTCTTAATACAGAATTGAAAGTATTTACTTTCAACACTATTAAATTTAAAAGTGTTATGAAGTATGTAGATACATATGCATATCCTGTCCCTTATTTTCCCTTAATCGTAGAAATCTGCGGTTTTATCCTTTACAAACATGGAAAGACGCCCTTATTCAAAGCTTCACTTTGTTTCATTCACCTTTTCCCCTTGTCGAAGTGCGTTTCACCACTGATCTGACCCTCGGCTCTTTCCGGGTCTCATTTTGCTTTTGTGTGTACATAGCTATGTACATACATATGTACACACACGCAACACAGCTACGCAATTTTCAGTCAAACATCTGACTACAAAGACAGAATTATTTCCACGTTAAAATTTATATAGACATAATGTCTAAAAACCCATGTAATAAATATTTAAATATACTTATTTCATTTAAATTTGCACATTTTTATGTTCACCCTCTTAAAAAGTAAATGCACCCTGAATGTATTAAGTTTCTTAACTATTTTACTAAATCCTGAGTGAACTTTTCTCTTTATCTAGCTAACGCTACTCTGGGTTTAGTATATTTTACTTCGTTTAAATTTGAGAGTGAATCTACTGTTCATAAGTGTAACATAATTTTTATGGGAGTATATATTTAATTGCTTTTGCTATTAAAAAATACGTTTAATTTGAATTCGCATAATGTAATGTGTACATAACTGTCTTTGCATTTTGCAGTTGTCTCTCTTAAAATATCGGTTAAGCAGTGGCTCAAACCGAAACCCGACAAAAAATCGATCCCCTCAGGAAAAGAAAAGGACGAAGTGCAAAAAGTGAAAACATTGACGTTCGCAGATTTACGAGCGAAAGGAGGCCTAGATTCTGCCCTGGATTATTTGCAAACAAATATCATTGTTCCACACTTTAATCAGAAATTGTATGAGAGAGCTGGTCTGAAAGGGGACCATTATGCTGGGGATAAGCTCATCCTGTACGGTGATGATCATACCTGTTCACATTCATTTATTTGAATAATGTATAAATAAATTAATCATTCAATGAATGACAAGTGAATAATTTATTCATTCATTATTCATTTAATAATGAAACTTGTTCAAAATTCTTAAAAATTGAATGAAAATTAATTAAATATTTATTCTCTTCATATTCATGAAAAATGAACGGCTGACTTTATTCACCATTCATTCCTTACCATATGCTTGGGTTTTAGGGAGAAATTCATCTAATAAGGCGAATTTGTGATAAAACTAATATCAAATAAATAAATATTTATTCACAAATTTCGACTAAATGAAGGAATTATTTTTTACAATTATTAACTTAAATGAATAAATGGTTTCTTTGAACAGGTATGGCGATGATAACGAGGGAATAGCAAACATGGTTGATGCCCTAGCCCACGAATTGTTCAATCCTGACGGCACACGACATGACGGGACAGTAATTACCATTTCGGAAGAACAAAACGACTGGTTGACCACAGCTCAGAAGCAGTACGAGGACGTGCATAAATTAGTTGACCATGCAGCCAAAAATATGCCGGCAATCATTTTCGTGGAAAGTGTCCACCCTGAGTTTAAGTTTAAAGATGGCACGGAAGGTGAGAGACGGTCAAATTTTCAAATGCACATATGTATATACTAGTGTATAAGCCCGTCTCCCGTCGGGCGACGGGCTTATTTGATTTCCGTGAAAATTAATTACGATTGTTCATAATTCCAGCGAATTATTTTTTATTGTATTTATATTATTAGCTGGAAATGTCTGTCGGCAAGGAAATGAAACTCTCTCCACTTTCACTTCCGTCACGGAAAATTACTTTCACTTCCGTCACGGAAAATTACTTTCACTTCCGTCACGGAAAATTACTTTCACTTCCGTCACGGAAAATTACTTTCACTTCCGTCACGGAAAATTACTTTCACTTCCGTCACGGAAAATTACTTTCACTTCCGTCACGGAAAATTACTTTCACTTCCGTTGCAGACAAACATTTCAAGCTTATAATATAGATATTTTCCTGTATATTTCGAGTATTTTTCTAAATTTCAATACACACCAGATGTCAATTTTCAATTAATCAATCACAACTAACTAATTGACCAATTGTTTCCAGCATTACTATCTCACATTGCTTGGTGCTTGAACAACAGCTTGGAGAAGCTACAACCTGTCTCCAAAATCGTGCTGATTTTGGGCCTAAACAGTCTGATTGAAAAAGAAGAGATTTGTCTAAAACGTCGCGGATTCACTAAAATTCTTCATGTTAAAAAAGTGTGGACGGTGGAAGCTATTAGGAAGCAGTTGATCGCGACCACCTCAGATTGGGAGGGACGCCCTGAAGATGCAATTTTGGACAATATGTCGAAGAACCTATCCACTTTAGATGATAAGGACATGAAGGTGAAAATAGAGAAAATTTGTTCCACTGCGTTTCGAAAATGTTTGTTACGCCAGGCCGAAAAATATTCGGGGGCAGATGTTGCAGGTAGTTTGAAACCTTATCGAATTAATGAGGCCGAGATTAATCCAACGGAGAAAGATTGGGACGAAGCATTCGCTGAGGTTAAGAATGAGGAGAAATCGCATGGATAAAAATAATTTATTTATACTCTTGAGCTATCGTTACTGGCCGGAGTTATATGATTCCACCCATCGTAATAAGGGTATAATCTTTTAGTACTATTGTGGTAATGAAATATTTACAACTCAGGTACAAAATTAAGAATTACTACCAATCCGGTAGGAAGTTATTTCCAAATAAATACCTATACGCGATATCTATGTATGTATATGTTACTCTACAGATTTTTAACAGTGTAACGATGCGTATCTTACTGTATTTAATTTGCTGCTCATTTAACTCTTTTTTTAATTAACCACTTATTGTAAAATTTGTGTACTTATGTATTGCATATCAGCAAATTATTTTAATTAAGACGAAAAAGTTGTTAATAAAGTATGATAGACAAATTTGCAGAATTTTACTCACACAGGACTCATAATGCCTACATGATCGTAAATCTGTACATATGTATGTTTGTATCTATAAATAAATTTTTTGAGATATCTACATATGTAGAATATGAATTTTGAGAGTGATTTTCATGTGAAATGCGCACTCATCTCTACGGTGGACGGATTCCACCAATGTATTTGTAACCCTGTATTAAAGTTTCAAATAAAATGAGCGAGTATTTACATATATTTGATACACCTGCCGAAATGTAAATAAATAGATATTGTGTCCGAATGGATTTTAAATACATTTCAAATATGTACAATTTCCCGATGTATGTATATTTCGCAGATCATTACTAGTACGCGAGTTTGCATACTTAGGTGCACATTTATTTATTCCATTTTGAACAAAGCTAGCGAGATTTATAATACCTAAATCATGTAGATGTAGTAAATACAAACTTTTATAATTGTACCATGAACATCAATATATTTGCATACATATTTACATATGCAGGATATATTTATATGCACAATACCATAACCAGATACATACATATATATGTACATACATATTTCTTTTCATCCTCGGAATAATACGGAACCAATCACTGTAACGTAAATACATGGATGGTTCACTTTATATGCTAGCTACAAATACATATGTATGAATTTACCTGCATGCCGATCGTAAGCTGGCCGTACAAATATTACGTCAGCAGAAAAACGTACCATTTTAATTTCATGTCTAACCTAATGAAACTTTATCTAACCTTATTGTGTACATAATTAAATTGCTGACCAAATTGTCGACATAATTTCTACACGGCCCCTTTCATCAATCAGTTGTTGCCCGTGACGGTTAAATAATTTCCATCCTCGTCCACGTGAAGTAAGATTTAACCCACCTTTCTTTGAGAGGTTTCTTAGAAAGCCTCGAAAATATATACATAGCTCTGGTCGTTTAAGGTGATCTATTTTTGACAGGACCCTTCTTTTCTTCGAAGGATATTGTCCTTAAATTAAGAATATGAACTCTTCCCCATTACGATTCCAAACTTACTGCAAGAAACCCACAAAATTAAATCGTTCAAGTAAATTTCTTTAAAAATCAGTAAATCAAGTAATTTAAGAAATTTCACCAAGTGTTACAAAGTGAGAAGGAAAAAAATAAATAGTAAAGTTGCCAACTTGGAATAGAAATACGCTGACAATTCAAAACTTATTAAATAATTCAGCCGAGAAGTAAGTGCATACTTATTGACTTGAATTCTTTAAAGTCGTTCTCTCGAATTTATATATATGATAGAATTTATTAAATTCTGAAATTGTAAACGAAAATATTGAGGGTATGTTGGGTGAAATTTAGTTTGCGATTGCATGAATTAAAGTAAAATTAGACTAAATATGCAACTTGGATTTCAACTTACCATACAAGTATGTACTTGAAGCTGGATTTATAAATCAACGTTTATTTTTTTAAGTTATGTCTAGGTTAAACATAATAAATATACCTATATTTTTGAATTTCATTTCGATTTCGAATTCTAATTAGTCTTTTCCATTACAGAAATCCACCTTTTTCCAATTCCACTGTCAAATGTGTCCACCACACCACGAGGCAAAAAATGACGTCAGATTTCTCTACGTTTATATTTATCTCAGGTAAGCGAATTCACCATTCTGCTGACTTAAATTAAAGAAAATTTATGTACATAAAATTGTCGTTATCGATTTTTTTATCCGATTTTTTATCTTCCTTATGCTTTTAAACAATTATCTTTTGCATATAATTATGACGAAAAGATTAAGTCAGGTTTCATAGCTAGTAATTCATAAGCAGTTTGTATTTTTCTGTATTTTCCCATATACATATTTTTGTCCCTGTATTTTTCGAAAATTGGTGTAGTTCTACAAACCAAAGTTATATACCCTAAATAACATTTGTAAAATTCATAAGCAAAGTTTTCCTTGAATTTTGGATAAACATTTTATCAAAAATTCAAAATGGATTCCAAACTTGTATCCAAGAGTTTACTATACATAGTCCGACCATAAGTTCCCGTGAATGCATTTCCGGTGATAAAGCCCAAAGTATTAGAGCTATCTGATAGAAATTTTTGTGGATGAACAAGGTATTAATCTTGTTTAGAAATCATAACTTCGTTTTCACAATTTCCTCCACGGGCTTGTACACAAGACATAAGTCGTGGCGAAAACTGCTCGATCGCGGCACGCACGGATTTCCTGGGAAAAGCGCCAGATCTTCAGTAAGTGCGACCTCAGCCCTTCCACACTTGGGTGAAATTTAGAGCATACTTGTACCTATAATTTTGACCACCAGTCATAATTTAGGGGATTAAGGTCTGCAGATACTGAGCACCGTTCTACGGATTAAAAAAAGTCATGAAAATTCGTCTGAAGCCAGTTTTGGACAATTTTGCACCTTGCGCATGAGCAGATTCTTTTTGAAAGGTCCAATGGCGATTTTCGGAGGGTCCAGGGTTCAGGTTATTAATGTTTGTCTCTAGGACACTCTGAAAATAATTCTTGGCTTCAATTTGTACCCTTTGCGGTAAAAAACAGAGATTTCATTTCTCCAGCCAACTTGCTCCCATTCACACCACGGTGATGACTTCGTATTGACTTCCGCATACCTAAACGGATGTCAGACTTCTGTACAACAAATATCTGGCCTTTTTTTCTATTAAATTTTTTGCCAACGGTGAAAAGTCTGAAATACTTTTGGCACGAAAATTGGCGCGTACCACGATCGACCTGTGGCCGTCACGAGTTATGTCTTGTCTAATTGCCCGTGGACGAAATCTTGACAAAGAAGTTATGATTTCTAAACAATATTAATACCTTGTTAATCCATAAAAATTTCGAGCAGATAGCTCTAATACTTTGGGATTTATTACCGGAAATGCATTCACGAGAACTTATGACCCCACTATGTAAAAGCTTGGACAAAATGTTATATAATTGTGTGAATTGTTCCTTTTCGTACCAAAGGAATCACGGAATTTGCTTAGAATTATAAATTCTTAACACTTGAACTACTAGCCTAAAGTTTTTGAGGTGAGATTTACATATGTAGAAGTGTTGGAAAACTTATAAATTTAAGTTTTTATTTTAAGTTTTTATGAGTTCATGTTTTTTTGTGGTAACACAAATGAGAAATTCGCGGAATTTGGCCACAATTTGCATACCCTAGTTTTGAACATACCTTCTTCTCATAAAATTGTAATAATTAATTTTAGCAATAATTATAATTATCCCTTACATTTTTATCACTTCAAAACATGACACCAGTATTCAACGCCACAAAGAAATATGACAACAAATTGTTGTCAACAATTTTTGTGAATCTCCAAAAACTAACAAATTTATTTCTCAAAAAATCTGGGGACATATTTCATATCTTTTTCTACACGTGTCTTGGTAATGACTGGCAAAGGGAAGCAAAAATACCGACAAATAAGCGAACTTTTTCCTCTTTTTTATTCTAAATCTCCAATATTTATTTAAAAATTGATTTAAATTACAGTTTTAATGAACCTCTCAACCCCTCCGTCGTCTACATGCTTGAATGGCATTTCTCCCCTTGCTGGGATCGCCATACCGGAAATAACTTCGGCCACGAGGTCCGTTATTCATGGACGACATCTACATCGCATCATTTCGTATTTATAACATTATCAAGTTCGTGAAAAACAAGTAATCTACCATCGCCTGTTTTAAATTAGTTTTATCTTTAATTGGTCGATGCACACATTTATACACTAATTTCGTCCAACTGCTTACTACATAATTACACAACAATCAACACAAAGTAGTCTTAAGGTTAGACGGAATCATAAAGTTTAGAGTCTAAACTCCAAAATTTCCATGTGTGTATTAAAAAATTCGAAATGTCACTTTCGTCAAACTGGTGTACATATTTAGGTCTATATTTCTGTGGTATTCTACAATATTAACAATTACGCAATTTCTTCTGAATCGGAGAGAATATTTGTGAATCTAAAACTAACCATGATTTTGTACCGTCTTGGAAGTGGTGCACATTTGCAAATTTTTAGTTTTTATGGATGCAAATAATAGTGAAGGAAGGAATAACGTGTTCCAGCTCATTTTGCATTTGCATATTTATTCAGAATAATCTACATAGGTACATATTTTCCAATTACTTACACCATACAAATTGTATCTGTATGGCAGTCATAAATATATCCTTGTACAAGAAGAACGATTATCGTGTTACTTATCCATAGCCAATGGTAATTCATATTATTAAACGTTTAAGTATTTGATAGGTTTAGCTAAGAATTTAGATTCATTTTTGAACGTTTACCTTGTGTCAATCCACTTGCAGTTAGATGTATTTCGTCGTCGGTGAGTTTTGCAGAAATTGCCAATACCTTGAAAGATTTTGAGATTGAAAGATCAGATCTTTTCAAACTCTTCCTAAACCCTAAACCAGTGGTACACCTTACCCGAAAGATTTTTGCATTCGTACGAGAAAAATCATGAGAAATGTAGACTTACTAGTGACTAGAGCCACTAAATTTAAGAGTGTTTGAATTACCACGAAATTTCTTGGGGAAAAAATTGGTATAAAAATAAATAAAATTATAAATCATAAATCCTGTCGTCAGAAAACATTATCACATGAAAATAGGAGAACACTTTTTTAAACTTGGAAGGTATACACCAACTCGCTGAGTAATAAGGTACAAAAGTTAACCGTAAGTGCGTACATATGTATTTACAATGTGTATTCATACAAATAACTTTGGACCATGGTTGAATTTCAAACAACGAAGTACCTTATTAAAAATGTGAAATATTCAGCACAAGAAATCCGGGATTAAAATCCCCAGATATTACGACTAATTATTGTTTCTTTTCCGTTCCACCCTTCCTTGATTTCTTCTTCTTTACGAAAGCTTTACTTTAAAATTATTAACCTCTGTCCTGTTAGCGTAATAACAGTATTTAGACACACATACATATGTAAGATTTGTCAATTTGATGACATATATCCGCCCACCCCACAACATGCAAGGTCTCAGAACGATTAGCGTATTAGGTCGTGTGTATATATTCATAAGCAAGTTCAATGAACCGGTCCTTGCGTTAATATGTTAGAAGGAAGGTTTATTACATGGCGAATTTCTGATACGAACGGAATATCTGTAGTTAAAGGCCGCAGAGTTAAGTTACTAGCGCACAAAGGTATTGTGCGCTGAAATTGTATCTTAATTTAATTTTGGCAGATCCAGATGAATTATCGTGCAAACTAAATTAACATTAAAATTTTGGTTCATTAAGAAGCCTAACCTTGTGTTATGAACCAGCAGTATTAACTAGGATTTTCTTACGGCAGCATTTTTATAAAAATGAGTCCAACCTAATTTGCAGAATTTTTCTTCCCACACAAAAATGTAAAAAGTTACGTAACACTAATATATATATATAACAATTCATTTATATTTTTTAAAATTAATTATATGCGTAACATCTTTAGGTAGTACATACCATGTAATCATTATTTTTTTAAATTTGCATATGCAAATCTTAATATCTAGATAAATATAATAAAAATACTCGTGTATTAAAGAATTTTAGTTAGTTTTATGTATACCAAAATTAGTATTTTATAACGCATACTTATTAATTGGATAAGTTTTTAATAAAAACACATTGATAAGTTGGTTCAAAGGAACGAGATTTGGTGAATGTTTTAACTTTGACGTGCGTTTGCATGATTTTATTTGCTATGGATGTATATCACGTATATGTATGTATAGGTATGCATTTATTTTCCATACGCTAAATGTAAATACTATGTATGATTACTAAACAATAACAAAAAACCTTAGTACATCTCCTACAATAACAAAATACATGCAAATAATTTGCACTAAATTCGTTTACATAGTCCAGGAAATATCTAAACGCGAAGGTAAATTAGGAAAATGCTTGAAATCTTGCAATTAAATACTTATGTATAATGAAAAATTTCACGTATGCGCATACATATGTACATACGAGTATTTAAATGTGGAGATTCTCAGATTATTTCGTATGGAAATATTTCTTGCATTTGTTAATATGTAAATGTAGCGATAAATGTGACAAAGAATATCCGAACAATATGTAATTGTACCATGCATTTAAGTTACATTAATCCCCACATAATTTTGTTCGTCCTAGGAATAACACGGGACGAATCGCTACAAATATGGCATGGATACCAGTTAAGTTAACATGTATGCAAACTGTGCTGGAATTATGTAATACAAGATATGAACAAATCGGTAACTAGGCCGCCGTACAAACATTGTGTCATCAAAAAAGGCAGGGACATGGTAACTTCATGCGAAACGTTCAAATTGAGTGATTTAATGTCACATTTAACCTTCGACCCTGTGCATCAGATAAACATGGAAGAAATAAAAATGACGACATCATTTTTACCGCCCCCTTTCTTGCGACGTTTTCTAGCCACGACGACGGTAACTCACCATCGGTAAGAGATTTCTCACCCTCGTTTGCATCAAGCAAACTAGATTTATCCAGTTTTTCTTAGGAGTTGGTTAGTAGAAATGGATCCCTTTCTTTTGAGGTGACTCTTCTGTGGCAACGCCCTTCTAGACTGGATTTGTTCTTCATTTAAGGAAGTAAATCATCCAAATTTATTTTCCCGTACAATCTAAGCTTACTCCAATACACACAAAAAAGTTAGTTGTAAATTTACGTATTTGGAGATGTATCCGTCACTTAAGGCAAGATATTCTTATTACCAAATTAAGCGGAAAAAATATAAGACAACGTAAAATTTGGCATTCTGCTGAATTGGTGTAGAAATATTATTAATAATTTACAGATTCATTCATCCGAAAGGTAAGTACTGATTTGATTGAATTATTTATGTTTCTTCAATGCCATTGATAAAAAGTGATTTATGTAAATCTCAGATTTTCCTACAATCGGCGAAATAAGAAATTATGCCACAATTATATAGCTCTTAAAGTTTGGGTTAAATTATATTCATTCAATCTTAGGATTAGCTGGGATTAAATATATTTATATTTTAAAAATATATTCTTTACTCCAGCTAAATATATCCTCAATTTTCAAACTTGGTTTTAAATGCTGTACGTCATTAAAAGTCTTAATTCGATTTTTTGCTGTATAATACAGAAAGTCCAACACGTTCCAATTCATGGCGTCCATTGTGTCCACCACCCTTCAACCGCGTTGCAGAAATGAACTCCATTTTTTAAAAGCCCACAAATTTATATTTAGCAAAGGTGAGCAAACGGATTATTTAATTATTCCCCTTTAAATGATTTGACATTCGCTTTTAGCCAAGTTTTACAAATTTTGCGTACACCGTAATTATTTTCCGAATTTCAATATGACGATGGGTTTTGAGGACATACAAAAAAATCCGTAAAGTAAATATTATAGGTATGTATTTATTTAGTTCATGTAGTATGCATTTTTTGCCAAATAAAAATTTCTATATATACATTATTGCGTAAAATACAAACATATGTAAACCCGTTTTTCTTTATAATTTTCAGATGATTTTGTTTAGTAAAATAATGCCAAATGAAGTTGCGTGAATGTCTTTTAAAAAAATTATTACATGTTTCTAAGACCTAAATACATACACCACAATTTGTGTAATTATTTCATACAAAATTTTACTCGTGTATTTAAATTACAGACTTAATGAACCTATCACCTCGTAAACCACCATCCACATACATGCTGCTGTCACTAGCCCCAAAACTTCTGGACGACCTGGCTCAAGGATTAAATCTCTCATCATCTGTTTTAATTTCGTTTTATGCTTAAAATTCAAATACGAAAATTCATGTAGTCTCAATTGGTCACCATTTTCACCGAACAACTTAAAATAATGCAAGGCTTTCAAGCAATGAGAATCATTCATGCTGCTGTGAATTTGGCCACCCGTGGTCCATTTTCCCAGCGGCCCGCAAGGGCCGCTGGGAAAATGGACCACGGGTGGCCAAATTCATATTGTTTTATTTCTATAAATTACGATGCGATGTCAATATATGCGCTCGAATAAAAACACGGTGCAGACATTTTGTTCCTCTGTTTTTTAAACAATTTCGTGTTTTTATTAATCCATGTAGTGCTTAGAAACCATTAATACGCCGGTAAAATCAAATGTGGGAATATGAACATTGTTTTTGGCTTGTATGATAGCTTGTTTCTCATAATTGCATTTCTTTATGATCTTAAAGTTCCTTTTCAAAATTTTCGGGATTTCGGTATACCAATATTTCAGTGTGCACATTACAAAATAGTCTTTCCTCACAAATGCACCCTGGTCACTAAGTTCGAATCCTCTATCGGGCCAACCGATTTGATTAGTGCCGGCAGGTTTTGGTGTAGGTGAAATTCCGAATACTGCGAAAAAGACCTTTTGAGCGTTAGTGATACCGTCAGGTTTCCCGTCGTTATCACCTAGAAATAAATAAGATTGAACAATTTTTGTGTGTGCAGGAAACATTTTATTCATATTTAACTAAAATCCTATTGTCTAGTAGTTAAGTCTAAAGGTCCGTCCAAATCGAAGAGATTGTGACACTCGATTTTCATTTCATTCAACACTTTCAAAAACTCGCCAAACTGACTTCTGTTCATTGAAATGAACTCAAAAAGCGAATTTCCGCCAATGGTGATGGTAATTTCTTCACCGATTGTCGTACATTGCAAGTAAGACTTTCCTCCGAACCTCTTATTAAACACGATACAATCATTTAGCAAATGATCTGGAAAAAGGTGGTCTATAAGATCTGCATTTACAAATATTAACTAATTATTCTAAGCCTTTACAAAGTTTTTAATATTTGAGCGGAGCAGTTTGTGTAGGAAGTTGGGTTTCATAAATTTTCGGTATTTCGTTCAAAAAATTAAGTAATTCATGTAAATAGTGCCCTCGGAATCTCACATGATTATTATAGTATTCTGTACATCTGTAACCGCAAAGCTTAATGTCTAAAACGATCTCATTGCCTAAGGTGTACCACTCAATCGAGTGATCATCAATTCTAGCGCTCAACCTTGGCTTGAAAAATGGCTTTGGCATAATTTTGCTCATACCACAAACTGCGGTAAGGTCTGTTCCATGAGCCCCTTCATTGTCGGATGATGATGCCGACGATGAAGATGTTCCAGACGATGAAAATTCAACACCTACATATGAATATACGATCCTTAGCCAAGCAATGATTCGGAAGAATTCTTCCTATGAAAAACATGAGTACCTGATGCTAACGGAGCTTGTGAAGATTTTTCGATTTTCCTTCTTTTACAGATGAACTTTTTGAGTTTCTGCGCAGTCGACGGTTTACTCGAAGAACCGGCTTTCCCATCCAGATCGGGCTTACCACGCTTGGGTCGCTCATTTGCAGAAACAGGCGCATCTTCAGGCACTTGTTCAGATGTAATTTTTTCGTCGTCTGAGGCTAAGTCCTTCAGACTGTTTTCCATCTTATAGACTTGTGAATAGGTTCGAACTCAGCGAACAAATGCGGATAATACTCGCAAATTTTCTCCTTAAATACTATTGCCTCTATTTATATTTTTATTCGGATATTTTTTTTATGTATTTTATGTTTATTTATTGCTGCTTATTTCATTTTCAAAACCGGTTCGGGAATGCTAATTTAAAAAAAAAAAATTATAAGCCTCATAATTCAGAGGTTTCCGAGAAACTTTTTCGGGAACTAATTTCAAATTTTTACGAGAGATAATTCCTCAGGATAAAATACACCTAAAATTATTTCCCCTGTATTATCACTTAACTTATATGTCACAGGTATGCTGTTTACGATTTCTCGAATTTTGAACAAGTCAGTGGTGAACGTCGAAGCGTAACCTTTCTCGAATGTTGCTTTTTGAATCTTAATTCTAACATACTGTCCGATTCGAAATTTAGGAGTAGACGGCTTTGACTTCTGCAAATCCTCGTAACTCTTCATCCAAACATTAAATTGATTGGAAGGCTTTACATCTTTTGGTCGACAGTTTATGGACCTATGCACTGAAGAATTATAGGATTGTACAAAGTCTTGTAAATTGTCTATGTATTTCGTATCATTTGTAAATGTGAAAAACTTATTCAGACGAAGCATTAGCGTTCTATTAAATCTTTCTATCATGGCAGCTTTGAGTTCGGAATGATTATGAAACAAGTTTATTTTATTCATATCTAATATTTTGAGAAAGGCTACACCTCTAAACTCAAGACCTCGGTCCGTTTGAAGATATTTACATTTACGACCACTGGTGTCTAAAATATCTTGAAATGCTTTTGCTACGACGGAGCAGGTTTTATTTGACAACGGTCTAACAAATGCATAACGGCTTAATACGTCGATTACGGTTAGTAAGAATTTTATACCCTTATTTTTTCTGCTAAATTTCGTAACAGTAATCAAATCACCTTGCCATAAATAGTCAATTGACGGTACAACAATCTTGCGTCTTGGAAATTTGTGACGAACGTACTTATTCCTTGTATATGTTTGATGGCCTTGCAAAAACTCTTTCGCCTTCTGCAATGAAATATGAGCAACTTTAGAGAGTCGTTCCGGACCACCGAAACTTCCGGGGTTCGCAGGATCGAAATAAATTTCATTTAACTTTTCGAAAGACATTGTTAGTGAACTTTTAGCCTAATAAATATTTTCGTGCAATGTTTACTGGTTTGAGTACACACACCGTTTAAGTCAATCCCACGTTTCATGCACTCTTTCTGACAAACTTGCTCACAATTAGAAAATGAAGGGAATTTAAAGTTTATCGCCACAAATTGCTTTACAAGGTTATCATTACTGGTGAGTTGTGTTTCTGAAAATTCATTTACGATATCTTCGTAGTTGTATGCCATAGATCTTTTAATTAAGAAATTTAAGCAATAATCACCACATGCATCGCTAAAATTCGACTGATATTGGATTTGAGAATACTTTATACTTTTACCACGCTCACGACAGAACGACAACATACGTTTGGGGTACATATTTATTGGCAATGCAAAGCTATCGAAATATTCAACAAGGTCGGTACCTTTACTTTTCCTGAAGCAAACCCAGTGCATTCCAGGTTCGGTGGATGTTTGATTATCACAGATAACTGAGAAAGAGTCTTCTTTGATTAATTTTAACTGATCTATTGCACACACAGCCGTAAAACCCTCGATGGAACAAAGCAGGGCATATCTTAGTTGATATGAATCCATTACTGGACGCTGATTTGTCGAAACTTATCTATTTCGAGAACACGTTGATGCTCAGAGTATACTAAGCAATTAACTGCTTCTGGAACTGCTGAGGGGAATTTTATTTCTACTCGTACTGACCCAGTTTTTTCTAGATGTAACGTCGAATCCGCACTATGGTTTATCTCGAAAGCAAAAAATGTAAACATTTCAGCAAACTTCTTCCGGTCAAATGTTAATCCTTGATCTTGTCCGGCAATTCCAAGCGAACAAAATAGCATATAATACGGTAGTAAATACGCATTATTATCGAAATCGAGATTTAAACCTCTAATTGGGATTGGCACATTATTTACCGACAAGGAAATAAAATTAATTTTATAATTCTTAAACACAAAAGGATTAATTTTATAATCGCCAATAAAACCCGAACTAGGGACGAGACACAATATAATTCTGGACGGAACAGTGCTCATGAAAACATTTTCTTCAATGAAGGATTGACTCGATTTCGGAATTGAAAAGAATTTTACATCAGATTTTTTAAAAGGATATCTGGCACTCTGGCCACTATCTAAGAGTTTTTGATGAGAGAGGACGATACTAGGATAAAGGACATGTTTTCTCACAAATAAACTTGCATCCAAAAATTTTATCTTTGGGTTCAGATCAGGATCCCCACTTTTAGGTCCTGGGTAAAGTAATGAGAACAGTTCTGTGGCCCGTGTTAAGCTAATGTTTACAGTGGTGTCATTTAATATATAACGTTGTTGATAGGACAAATCAAATTTTAATTTATCAATTAGCTCGAGAGGGCTCGAGGATGCGATATATTTTTTTCTTCCCTCATATCCAGTGTTTGCTTTATCCAGTTTTCCTTCCTCGGTATCTAAGATAAATAAGGGACAAGTTCCCTGAGAATTAATGTAGTCCCTTCCAAACCTCAATAGAGTTTCCATATATGCCTTGTACATGTAACAATTATTACTCGTAGACACCAATTGTTGATTGATACTAACATCACAATTCGTAAAGAGTGAATGCATGAACAAATTTGCTGTACTAACGTCAGCATCGCCAGGTAGATCTTTTCCGTCCCCGCAGATTATTTTTACACGGAAATAGCAAAAATGATCGAATAAATCTAAGTACTGTGAAGAATTTCCTACAATTCTGAATTCTATCTTAGCGTCGCTATCCTGAATATTAACCACTGGTTTATATTCGGCGAAAAAGCTCGATTCGACGGTGGTATCGGTCGCAGGCAAACTGAAAAGATCGGCTTGCCCGCGAATTGATGGACTTGAATATTTATTAATCATCGCCATTATCCAAAAATATCACTTCTGCTTCTTGGCTTGGCTCTATTTGATGTCTTAGTTTTAGATATTTTCTTGATTTTATTATTTCTTTTCTTATTATAACCCTTGGTTTGTTTCGATCTAACAACCGAGCAATGTTTCTTTGCCGGCGACCTAAGCGGTAATGAACTTATGGAACTAGATTTTACTCGCTTTGTTCTTACCATGTTGCCTCCCGCTTGACGACCAGCTATATGATTACCAACGTTATTTAACAAACTCGTTGCGTTTGATTTAATTGAGCTCTTTAGAGGTACACCGCTCGTCACATCAGAAATAGTGTTAATAAGAGCATTTTTAGCATGCGGAAGAATATATTTATTTAAAAGAGGCAGCGCATATCGACCTATATATCCTAATATACCTCCTAAACCACCACCCTTCTGTCGATAGCCGTTAAATACCGGGATTCCATTTCCAATTTGTTCGTGTATAGCCTTATGATATTCGGAATGATCAAATATGTGCAGACATTTCATTTTGCGCCTTAGTTAGTACACTACAATTATGATCTTTTCATAAGCGACGATTCGACACAATATATCTGTAAGCTACAAGCAACGATATAAATATGAGGACATATCCTCAAAATGTCTTCATTAATAGTTTAAAGTTTTATGGAACTCTGAACTCTCGACAAAATGTCCTTCCATTTATTCCTACCCTCAAACGTTAGCCCTCTTTACTTTCCAGATAACAGAATTTCTTCCTTTAAGGTAAAATTACCGAAACGTTTTCAATTTTTACCTGACGAATACGAAGTTGCTCTAACAGAATTAACATATAATCACTCAATGAAAACGTTTTTGCGAGATAGCGATAGACTAATTCGTTTTCGTACCCTTGTTAGCGAGCGTGAAATTTTTACTGGGGTTTTAGAACCACACTGGCGAGATACCTATGTATTACCGAATCTAAATTATTCATCCATAGTTACATTATGTACAGAATTAAATAAAGCACTTCAAGTCGAAAGCGGGAAGCAGATTACCACTTTCAACTACGATTCTGAGGTAAATCGTGTATCGGTAAACGCTGAACACAGTGAAATTCAACTATCGTCCTTATTGTCAAATTGTCTGGGTTTTCCCGATATTATAAAATTTACTGGAAAAAATACTGCTACAAATCCACCTGATTGTTTCGGGAGTATGTACCATATGTTCGTCTATTGTGATTTTGTACAACCTCAAATTGTTGGTGACAGTCTAGTTCCTCTATTACGAATCGTGGATATCACAGGTCGTGAGGGTCAAACCGTAACGCAAACGTTTCGTCCATATTATTTACCAATCAGTAAGTTGGAATTCGACACCATCGAAATATTGCTATGCAATGAATATGGAGAAGAAATCCATTTCACCAAAGGAATCTCAGTCGTGACAGTGCATTTCAGAAAAAGATCCTTTAAGCATAACAATGGAAATTGACCACGGTAATACATTTCAGTTGTTACATCCTTTTTCTATGAGTATTTCGGGAATTACGCAATCAGGCAAGACACAATTTTTAAAATCCTTGTTGCTAAATTCAAATAAGATTGTCACTCCAGCACCAGATAGGGTTGTAATATGCTTCACAGAGGAACAAGAAGCGTATAGAGAATTAGTGTCAAAATTACCTCATGTCGAACTAATCAAAGGCTTGGAATTCGATCTGGAGGAATTTAATCCGGATATCAATAATATTATTGTAATTGACGATCAAATGAATGACGCTGTTCAAAGCGAAAAAATTCATCAACTACTTACAAAGGGGTCACATCACAAATCAGTCTCTGTAATAATTTTAACCCAAAATTTATTCCCGCAAGGTAAACACGGTAAAACCATGAGATTAAATACCCATTACACAGTAATTATGAAGTCGCCTACGTTTGCTTCACAAATTAATTACTTAAGCAGACAAGTTTTCCCGAACTAATCACGCTTCCTTCCCGACGCTTATAAAAAGGCTACAAAAAATCCTTACTCCTATTTAGTGTTAAATTTGCACCCACGTTGTGACGATCAGTACAGGGTAATACAAGGTATTTTAGGTGAAACGGATAAATTTGTTTATCTACCAAAATGAAATATATTATTGAAATTGAGGGCTTTCAGTTGCACAGTGCATTTATTATAAAAGAATTGTCAATCGTCGCCTCTGATCTCGAAAATCATTTTTTTGTCAAGTCACCGTATAGTTTCGATAGATTGCACATGAGCGATAGAAGAATTGTACGGTATTGCGAAAATCGTTTGCATAAAATTTATTGGTCATCTGGAAACGACAAATTTATTACCGTACGAGATTATTTACAAGAACTTTTGAATAGAGACGTAGATAATATTGTATATACTAAGGGAACGTTTTACGAAACTTGTTTAAACTAAATTGCAAACTTATTGACATTAATACTATGGATGATAACATTAATCAATTATGGGATCAGCTAAGATGTGAATATAACGACTTGCAAGAAATGACAGAGCAACAGTGCCCGTTACGATTTCATAAAGCAAATCCCCATTGTAGCCATTTCAAGGCGGCTGTAATTTCGTTTTATTTCGAAAAACTGCAACATCAGGATGAGCAAATGCTTACAGAGGAATCAAGGTTTTCTGAAGACGTTACACAAATCCAACGACCAGACCAGGAAGAAACTCATTGAAGCGGCAACTCCCGACCAAATTAGAGCTCTCACAGAGATTGCTATGAATATTGTATGTGGAAATTTTCCGGTAGCAGAACAGAAATTAAAAAAGTTATCATTGCACAAAGACTCAATAAGAAAATTGTCAAACCGAACTTTATCACACAAGAAGAAAAAGCACTTATTATTGCAAAAGGGTGGTTTTCTACCTTTTCTGATTTCACCAGTTTTATCAGCATTAGGTGCAATTGCAGGTAGAGCCATTGGCTCACAATTGGGGTTATAAAATGGCACAAAGAATGCGACTGGTTGAAGACGACGAATACAAGCGTTTGCTAAAGAGACATACCCCTCTATCTCAAGTCAAAGAGCATTTCTTTCGTGATGCAAGTGGTCGAGCCGATCAAGTACTTGATAATTCTGAAAACCCTGATGACATAAAAATTCAACTTTATGGTTCCATCATGAAAAGTGTAAAGCAACAATTGAATCAAATACTAGCTGATCCTATAAAGGTCAAACTTAGCCTAGACAAACCAGATGCAGCGATTAATGCCGATAGTAGTGCAGACTTTAGCTCCCTAGATCATTTTTCATCTGCTATATCGTCACCAAACTCAACCTTAAACCAGAGTTTCGCGTCGTCGAAAGGTTCAGCGACGGCGTGGGATCCAGATACACTTAATGAAGTTCCTCAAAGTTCTCCTTTAAATTTGGACGATATTATCTTACTCAGAAATGAGCCCGCAAACGTCAAAGCTACGAAGCTTATTCCTCTCATGACCATGCTGAAATCAAGGCCCGATCTTATCAAATGGGACACAAATGGAAGGGTAACTTTTTTTGGAACAGAATTTGCCCCGGAAACCAACATAATTGATTTGGTAAATTACGTAACACGAGAATTGAAGTGGAGTCATAATCCTGCAGGTATTAATCGTATGTTAACAGTTTGTAAGATGGTAAACGTTCCAACGACAATGTTGTCCAAGGATGTTAAGCAAGACTTAATGGGTCCACTGGAAGGAATCAGAATTCCTTCTAATCAAACCGATAGCGCTTCTAGGATGGGAGGCTTTAAAAAATGGAAACCTATATCAAGTAAAGACAACTTAAATTCTAACTCAGACTCAGCTCGTTCATCGAGGGATACACATGGACCTACGCCGATGCGTAATGTATATTCGGGTGCTAAAAGAAAACGACGCCGAAATCAAAATGCAAGCACAAGTTTCGGAACACCTAACTTATAAACCTTTCAAGATGTTTAATAAGGACATGAGCACTTTCCAAAAACGGCTTCAATCGTACGAAGGATGGCCGACCAATAAGGCGCAAACACCCCATACGCTAGCCGAATGTGGATTTTATTATTCCGGCGAATCAGATAAAGTTATTTGTTATTTCTGTGGGGTCGGCGAGCACAATTGGTTGCCAGAAGATAATCCTTGGATTGAACACGCTCTTTTTTCGAATAAGTGTACATATTTATTGGTTAACAAAGCCAAAGCCAATCAGAAGGTAATTTTATCAAAAAAAATTTCAAGTCAAATTTGTATTAGTAATATTAGAATTACAAGCTTTGTTTTATTTCTATAGAAAAATTTTTCTGTTGATACCGCCTCTGAAGAACCTCATTCTGAAAATGGTAAAAATTTTGTTAGTTTCGCTACAGAAAAAATCAGACGATGCAAAATATTATAATGATTACCTTTCAGCTGCAGCTGCTGGAACTCCAATTCTGGCTACCGTAATGGTTGATCCTATCTGCAAAATTTGTGATGCATCTGAAGCGAGATTCGTGGTTCTGCCTTGTGCCCATTTAAGTATGTGTTTAGACTGCGTGTGTACACAAGATTATTGTCCACTTTGTCGCAAAAGGATCAAATTTCTTTTGAAAATATTTATTGCATAGACTCGACTTACATGTTTGTACAAATATAAAACTAATATATATAAAATGAAATATAACCATTTTCGTTTACTTCATGCAATTTACAACTCTTAATTTTATTATTTCACATATACACTTAACATAAATTCTAACCGATGTAAACGGTTTACGCAACGATGCGACAATCATGATGGGCTATGGTATTAATCCCATCAGCTAAAATGTATCTCTTTGAATCAAAGCAATGGAGTGCAACTTTCGAAAAGTTTCCAGAATAGAGTTTGTGATGCCGTGAACGAATCAGATTCATTCTGCATACCAATTTCTTTTGTTTGAATAGCACTGATTTAAATCGTTTATGATTAATGTACTTATCAACTATTTGTTTCTTGACACCTTTCACCGCTTTCTTTCTTATACCTTTTCCAAGAAAGGAATACATCTTCGGCGCAACACCTACGAAACTCTCTAGAACATTTCCTTTTGCTTCATCTGTCATCTTCCCTATAACTTTCTTGTTGACGTTCGAATAAAGAAAGTGTGATTGGTCATAATTACTAAAATCAAACTCGTCAGCGTGCTCAGCCAAGTCCTCGTACAAATCTTCAGTGGTTATTGAATATGCTAATGAATCAGTATCTGTAAACAAGAATTTCGCTCTTTCCCCGAACCACTAGCCAATTTTATCATAGTGCCACTCATACATAAAGAGTTTACTTAAGTCGAGTACCGTGAAGGCAATATACAACGGCTTATTTAATTTCACCACTGCGCGGTCAAGAAAAGTTATGACGAGGTCAGGACTTAAAATTTGATAATTTTTGAAATTCGAATGTCTAGTCAACTTCTTCATCTGCTCTAGGTTACTCACAATTCTAACATCTTCTCGATTTCGTACTTGTTCTGCGGATTTCCCGAAAATGCTATTTACAATAAATTTGAACAGATTTTGTTCAAAAATGGTTCGTGCTTGTTGACGCAAAGAACCGTTAAATAAGACATAATTTTTCAACCATGCAGATTGACTGAACTTAATTACACTGTGTACTTTTTCTAAAGTCATTCCTTTCTTTAAATAATATTTTAAATTCCTATAATGAACAGCGTACCTTTTACGAGGGCCCAAATGCGGTACGAGCTTAGGTTGCTTCTCAGAATAAGTCATATTATAATGCGAAATAAGGTCTGTCTGATACGAAGAAAGTAGTTTACTGTTTACACAAATTTTCTCGGGGGCAAGCGGGTACTCTGAATGTTTGGGGTGCAATGCCGACCCGTACCCTAGGTCCACAACTAAAATTCGCCCGATATTATCTTCATCGCCCCATTTTAAAATTTCTTCCGTCGTCAAATTCTGAACGAACTCTGCGTCTTCCCATTCAAAATCTCCTGTGGGCAAATGCTGAAGAAGAGCTTCAGCATATTTCTCGAATATTTCAATTTGGTGTTGAAAATTCGTATCAATCTCGTTTAAAACGTCAGTCAGATAAAATTTGTTCAATACAACTTTCATATTCGAATTTATAAATTGTGTACAATATTCCTCTTCTTCTTTGTCGCAAAACGGGGTGTCTCTAATAAATTTACATTTCAGGGTTATTTGAATTTTTACGGATTTGTAGTCATTTAAGCATTGTTTAATAATGCCATAAATACAACGCTTGTTTTCTGAAAAATATTCCATTAATGTACGATACGGAGCATTTTTCTTCTTATTTCTATGTCGATATGTTCTGACATATCCCTTAAATGCAGCTCTCTGAATCTCTTTAAAAGGGTATGCGTCGTTTTGTCGCTTTCTCGATCCCGTCTGTCGACTGCTTGCTGCCGTCGTAGAAGATTTTATGTGCGTCAAAATATGATTATTTACAGCAAAAATATCGCTGTCCTCATACATGCAATGCGGACATCTATGTGAATTTATATGAATATCGTACGCTTTGTGTTGAGTGAATTCTAAATTACATAACTTGCATACATATAATCTAAAAGGCCTTCTGTGATTCGCAACGTGTTTTTCGAACCGCCTTGCTGAGGCGAATTGAAATCCACATGGGATGCATCTCGTACAAGATTTCCATGAATTCATCTATAAAATTATGACACGAAATGAGGATAAGAAAGATTAAATATTGAATAAATCATAAATTCGCAAGGACGCACATTGATCGACCACTATTGGTCATTAGTAAAAGCGTTAGAAGAAATGCGCAACGACGTTGGTAGCATGCTCCCGGCAAAACCGGACGCTTAGAGCTTTATTTGATGTTAAGCTCACTAAAAGTTTTAAAATTCAAATTTTGGTTACAAATACTAGATTATTAGTTATTGCTCCATAAATCCTCTCAATACTTACCTTCAAATTAGCACCGGATCAATTCTGAAAATAAATAAATTCCAATACTTCATTAATTAACTAAAATTGTTGTCTATTAATTTCTCACACAGTTGGCGGACTTATCTTTGTTCGTCGTCATAGACGGGCAATGTTTCCGAGGAAGGCTACGCCTGGATCAGCAGAATATGACCTATTTTCTCAAAACTATGGCGAAATCAGTGGTGGCGGTGTTGGTGTGGTGGAGACGGGGATCCAAGTTATACTGCCCCTCAACCACTTTGGTTTGATTAAGGGGAGGTCAGGATTGGCCGCAGCAACAATGATATCCACAGCAGGTTTGTTGCTCATTATTACATTACTGTTACAAATTGAATAATTACAAATTTATAAAATTTATCTAAGGTGGCATAATCGACCATGATTATACTGGGACGATGAAGATTATCTTGCACAACAACTCGAGCGAAAACTTCGCTTACAAAGCGGCGTCACGCCTCGGGCAGCTTGCAGTAATCCCAATGTACCACGGACCAGTGCGATACGTTGAAGGAACTAAGAAAGACGAAGAACACGGCGTTCAAAGAAGTGAGTTCTTATCCCGCGAGCCGCGCGGTGATAAGGGATTCGGTTCGACTGGACAATAACGCGTTTGTGGCATTGTTCATCACTTCACATATATCACTTCCAACTTGCTAACAATTTTTCATTTAAACTGTTTTGAATTAGTTAATTAATTAATAAATTAACTTTTTAACCGTCTGGTCGGTATTTCCAGTCTGTTCACTGGGTTATCACAAGCACGATCATATTCATCTGAACATTTTGGCATTGTATAACAACTAGAGTTAAAAACAATCCCATGTTTAGACGATCTCGTTCACTCAAGTGTCGCTAAAACTCCCATTCTCATATGAACATTTTGACATTGCATACATGCTTACACTTTAAACAATCCCATGTTTAGTCAATCTCAAACATTGTAGAAGCTCTGATTCTCATATGAGCATTTTGGCATTGCGTGCCCACTTGCATGCATGCACTTTTGATAATTTCATATTTGTTATAACTTGGCCTAACAATGGTCAAGTTATAACAACACATTCACAGACATAATTTCCCTCTAAATATGCACAAATTTAATGGTCTATATTTCTTCAAGATGTTGATATACTTATTAAAAATCACGTAAAGTTCTTTGATCAGGGGAGAATATTTGTGTATCTGGAACAGATTTTAGACTCTAGTGAGATGTTTATACATTTGAAACTTCAAAAAAAACTGAAAACCTTAAATATGTACATACTACTCATAGAGTAGTAAGTATCGTTAATATTTGTAGCTAATACGTTTCTTATCACAAACAACATGACAAATTTTCACGTGGTTCGTGAACTTTTGGTGAGAAATATTTGCGTAACTTTACTTCCATGGCTCTAGGCATCCGCTAGGGAATTCTGTACCAAATCAATCCTCCTATAATTATTTCTCTCCTAATACATATTTACACAGTTTAGAATTCCCATTATAATGTAGCCTCAGGCTATTTTATTCGTAGTCTATTTCGGTGTTTTAGTAAGATGGCTTTTGTAAATATGTGTGCATGAATATTTCTTAAATCGGTTTTCGAATATCGATATCTAATGTTTGGGGACGGGACAAGTTCAAGGATAGAGCCAATCGGCCTACCCCCGTTAACGCTAGGGGGTGTGATAATATACTTAAATTGTTGATTAATTTTATTTTCGAATAGTTATATACATTGTGCCCCATTATGATCATAAAACTATATGTGATTCACCTGCCACGTGCCGTTACTTCTGGGGCGTGGCTGATTTGCCTGAATACAATAAATATACACGCCACAATGTAACATACCGAATAGTTCTAAACCTAGCAAAATATTACAAATGAAGCAAAACCAAGTAAATTTTACTTGTAGTAATTAGAAATAATTCAAGTCATACAAGGAAATATGTATGATGATTTAGGTTAGGTTAACAGAAATTCTTTAAGTTTATTAATTACCCGAGGATGTGTTTATTTATGTTAATAATAGGCACACTATGTGCACAGCAAAATTAACTGAATTGCATCTGGAATCATAGGCGTTGCTCTTATCTCTAAAGCTTACTGAAGTCGTTCACTACAAATAAGTAGCAAACCCTGTTATTGCTAGTTTATATTTTAATTGATGAGTGCGTCTACCTGTGCATTCACTAACAATTTTTCCTATGTCCTGTTGGGCGATTGTAAGCCCTGCAGTTGTGCGACCACAACACAGAAGATGTCCTGCATCCAAACGACTTCAATTTTTTCTGGTTCAGGCCAAAGCCTGAACCAGAAAATCCTACCCTACTCATGTTGAGCTCAACACGAGTAGGGTAGGGTAGGGTATGATAAAAAAATATTTGTCCGGGGTATGGTAATGTATCTATGTGCTAGATACTTGGAAAATCGTTTTTGAATCTGTCCAAGAATCTCTTTTTTAATAGAGTTCATAGGTGAATTTATTGAAGGAAGGTGGATATGGCCACTAAACATTGAATCATTTGTTAAACATTTACGCTTAATTGCACGTATAAAGCGGTAATTGACGAATTAACTTCAGTTGGCACCGGAAATGTATCTTCAGGTTAGCCTTTGAAAAAAAGTCGGGTACTACCCCGGAATGAATTGTAAAACTGCTGCATTGGAACTTTTGGTTTTGTCTTATAAATCTGTTGATAACTTGAAATATTGGTATCATTAGGTTAGGTGGCACCAGAATCATTTAATCCAAATAGAAATGTTGTAAATGGGGTTTCTTTAAATACGGATACGTACCATCGAACGCCTTTATAATATGTTAAAATAACTTGACAACTAAGAAGTTTTTTGCTGCAAAACCCGGCCTGGTTTGTGAATCCGAATTTAGTATATCAAGCGGAGCAAAAGATTTCAGCCTTATAGGGCATTTACAGCACCAGGGCATAAATTTAAACCCACCCGTATGCTGCCCGCCCCGATAGCTCAAGCTTATCAGTAGATTTTATTCAGCCATCGGGTTTAGGTTTATGTTGTACAGAATTTAACTGGCTTTCCAACGGTACTACATTTGGTTATAAAAAAAACTAACAGGTATGCGTAATTAATCATACAAGAAAAAAACACAAAAAATTTAGCTGCAAAAGTTTAAACCCACTCCCTATTAAAAATTACTTCATAACGTAGGGGGGTTAAGGCAAGGGTTTAGCAATTATTTGCATTCGTCCTAGGTACTTTACTTGCAGAAAAATCAAAAAAATGGGAAAAAATCCGGAGTTGACCATTGCGATAACAAATTATTGTAAATCTCCGCGAGCGAGACCTAAGGCACATAAGAATTAGTGCTATTACCAAATTTAACAAAAATTCCATTAAAACTATTATTGGGAAATAGAAAAATATAGGTACTCTACCAAGTAATCCTAAATCGGGACGACCAACAGTCAAATCTAAGCGAATTGACTGAAATATTGTTCCAAAGGCAATCCAAAATCGTGGGTTGGCACTCCAAAATTTGACCTCCGACAGCAAGGGGCATTGTGAGATCCAAATTAGCGCATGAATTGTGAAGAGGAGACCCCATGGACCAAGTCTCAAGCGACGATGAGTTAGAAAAAAAATGTGCCTACCTGTGAAAAGCTTAACCCGAAGCCTGAAATGGGCTAATGAGCATTCTGGATAAACCACCCAAAGCTGAATCAAGGTATCATGGTCGGAAAAAATAAAACTTGGTATTTTCGTGAATTAAGTGGTGAATTATGTTTGGGGGAGACCTGGGGAAGGTCTTAAAAAGCAATGCCTTGTACGCAACGTACAATACATTCATTTTTCAGATTCAAGATATTTCAGAATACTCATTGGCCCATTTCAGGCTTCGGGTTGAGCTTTTCACAGGTAGGCACATTTTTTTTCGAACTCATCGTCGCTTGAGACTTGGTCCATGGGGTCTCCTCTTCACAGCTCAGGCGCTAATTTGGATGTCACAATGCCCCTTGCTGTCGGAGATCAAATTTTTGAGAGCCATCCCACGATTTTGGATTGCCTTTGGAACAATATTTCAGTCAATTTGCTTAGATTTGACTGTTGGTCGTCCCGATTTAGGATTACTTGGTACAGTAGCTATATTTTTCTATTTCCTAATCATTGTTTTAATTGAATTTTTGTTAAATTTGGTAATAGCACTAATTTTTATGTGCCCCAGGTCTCGCTCGTGGAGATTTAAAAATAATTTGTTATCGCAATGATCAACTCCGGATTTTTTCCCATTTTTTTGCTTTTTCTGCAAGTAAAGTACCTAGGACGAATGCAAATAATTGCTAAACCCTTGCCTTAACCCCCCCACGTTATGAAGTAATTTTTAATAGGGAGTGGGTTTAAACTTTTGCAGCTAAATTTTTTGTGTTTTTTTCTTGTATGATTAATTACGCATACCTGTTAGTTTTTTTATAACCAAATGTAGTACCGTTGGAAAGCCAGTTAAATTCTGTACAACATAAACCTAAACCCGATGGCTGAATAAAATCTACTGATAAGCTTGAGCTATCGGGGCGCGCAGCATACGAGTGGGTTTAAATTTATGCCCTGGTGCTGTATGCAGAATTCTCAAAATACAATGTAGCATTTATAGTTATGAGTCGAAGACATTATTATTATTATTTAAAATATTTTATTGTGTGTTAAAATAACTACGCAAATGACTACGTTAAATATCTTATTTTGCTGGTTGCTGAGGGATGGATCCATCTTTTCAGATTTTTAAAGGCCGATATATCTCAATGCCTAAATTGGCACCTACATTTGGTTCTTTCTTAACGTACTCGTAGTTAACGACGGAAATAAAGAATTTCCAGAATTTTTTGAAATTTGGTATGAATTTTTTTTGTGTTACAGATTTTCATGCAACTTATTTTGTAGACTAATTAAGTCATCCAGAGCGTGAGTTTGAATGAATTGATGGAAAACCTACATAAAGTACAACCCAGTTGAGAAATTTTGAACTCTATTTAATTAATTTAATTTGTTCATTTATTAATTCCTGATATTATATGAATGACATTTTTATTTATGAACATACAACATTTGTATATATGTACATATTACATGAAATATAATTATTATCAGTAATTATGCAAACGAGTAAACAATTTTAATCTCTATTATTTTACCATTGACATTCATCATTTTAGTTATACAAATATGAATATATATAATAGTGCATATGCAAAATTGACCATACTTTACATACATCACTTATTCCCCATAATAATCTAACGATGGAGCGTGACTGTCATTATCGGAGTCCGACTCGCTGTAGAGAACCTTGGGCGTAGATTGGGCATCTTTCTGATTGAGCAAATAGAAATTTTTTCTGAATCACTGGTACATATCTTCTTCGTCTTCCTGTGGCACCCTAACATGATCTTCCATTCTTTGTTTGGTGCCAAGGGGGTGTTTGACTCCAAGTCCATAGCGAAGTCATCTGGTTGATCCAGGTTAGAATATTCGTGCGATTGACGGCTTGTCATCTGTTTCGAGGTACCAGGCTGGGGTTCATTTTGATCTTGCATAACGGTGTCCTAGTTCCAAAATACTTTCTTCTATCACACGCCGTATTTGCTGTTATTCCATAATCCTGTCTCGTTCTGCTATTTTCTCCTTTCATTCCGACCTTCTCTTCTTATCTGCTAATCTCTTCTGATCCAAACTGGCCAAAGCATTTTCATACTCCACTTGTTCTCTTTTTCTGAAATTTACCCGACAGGGGGTTTCATTAACCCGTTCGAATCGTCTCGATAGATTCCAATTTGACGGATTGGATCGATAGGCTTTTTTCAATGACGCCTCGAGGAGAGGATCATATTTAGAATTGGCTGGTGGACCGGTCCAGTGTACGAAACTTTCCTCAGATAGACGCTGAAGAGATAAAGAGGATCTCCCTCTCACATGTTCTTTCACAACGCTCCCCATCGCTTCCACTTGTGACTCATTGCTTAAACGAAGGGTTGACTCTGCAATTAATTGATTTACGTCAGAATAAGGTCACACGTCCGGTATTCCTTGCACCAGATTGGTGTAATAATTCCTCTCCATGTCCCTCCGTTCAGAGACAGTCTTGTTGGCGTATATATTCTTGAACGCCTCGTGCGCGTCCGAAGAGAACTGTTTGTATTGATTTCTCACGTCCTCATAGTTAACGTCTTCTTCCAGACATTCACTACTTTTGGCTTTTGAAACATAGGAATCCAGTTCTACAGGAACTTCGCCGGAACAACTGGTTAGAACTTTGGAAAGTGAGAAACACTCTATTGCATCTTGATTCACGTCTTGTTCTCGGCCAGTAAACTAGCGTTCTATGCATTCTTTTAATGTTTGTGCATATTGTCCAATTATCGAACGGGATTTCGAAATCACGGAAACCACATCGAGTTCGCCACCTTCTTCATCCAAATGTTCTTGAGTATAGCTATGTGTCCCACGTGCCCCTGATCGATGTTCAGTTATGAGAACTGGCTTCTCGAGAATACTCGAGATTGAGATTAATCTCGACAATACTCGAGATTACTCAACAAACTCTAGCTAAACCCGTGGTTGAGCGTGAGTAAATCACACAAACCAGCGGCCCCTTTGGTTCAGCGAGATTAAATAAATCATACAAACCACTAAACCCTTTGTAATGTGCATGATTGGACAGTAACAAATTAAATCGCGATGGAAAGAAAGATTTAAAATGATCTTATCTTCTCTTTCCACGGCCAGGTCGGGCTCTGGAGGAATTTCTCCCACTATATATGTAAAAGTATTGGCAATGGTTATTGAAAATAATGTCCGTACTTACGGGACAATATTTTGGAATGTTGTGTAAACTATGTACGAAAATATTTACCTCATTTTTTCCAGGAGAGGACGGAAATCCAGCAAAATTTCCAACGTTGTTAGATTTGGAGGGACTTTGTTCGTAATGTGACAGTTTGTTCTTGAGCATTAAGATGCATGATGACTAAGTCAGTCAGTATGTCAAGTTAAGCGGAAGACGGATATGCATTTATTTACCAAATTTTTTTATTGCGCCACAAAAATCTCAAGAATCCAAAGCACTATATTTCAAAATACTAATTTTTCTAAACATTTCTTATTTTTATGTAATTTTGTGCATATTTTTTAAGCATACTCGCCTACTACTGAAAGTCAGTTGCAAGAGCTACAGCGCAGCTAGCCTAGACTGACAGTTACAAGTACATAGAAATTTAAATAAACAGAAACATATTTTTATGCTTAATTTACTCGCGTATTACAGAATAATATTCCAAAGTTATGAGCTTTGTAAAGCATTATTATTAATTTCAGTGGATATTTTTTTAATATAAACACATTACCTAATTGAAAGTAACAAAATTTGGTAAATGTTATCCACTTCTGACATGTGGCAAACACTAAGTATTTTTACCGGTAGATTTTTGTCTTCCTGCAATTTGTGTGGAAAAATGCATATGCATGCATATGTAAATGCATTTACATACGTGTTTTCCACATGTCTACATGATACCAAGTAAAACATGAAATCATTGAATTATAATATTAATAATGTTGTAAATTTAATTTATCAATAAACTAAATAGGTCTTAATCTGCCAAAATTTTGTCGTGTATTTTGTTTTAACCAGAATTTTGTAATTATTAATAATTAGTTTATTTAGTTGCGTATGTATTTACTTTTGAATTAAAATTTGTAATTAAATAAACAAGTATCGTTCCTAACAAAAAAGGAGCATATTTATATCTAAATACTTTGCATCTTACTCAGGCACTCTGCGACTACATTTAAATTTAAACTATATACAATGCTCGTCCTTAAAACTCGATCACTTGGTATTTTAGTGGGGAAGGGGTCGAAAAATAAAGTTAGAAATCTGAAATTTGTGTAGTATATGCCAAATATATCTAGTCATATAAATCCGCGACCAAACAAGACTTGAATCCATTGGCCATCTCGTAATTAACTTTTTTTTTATCACGACCGCCATTAGTGCTTGTCTGGAAGACGTTGCAACTTCATTGTCAATTTTCAGAGACCGGAACTTAAATTTTCTTAAAGTATCGACTGTTTCACAAAGCTTGGACTACTTCTTCCCGGATAAAGTCCAAATTCTGATTTTGGGTTGAAGATGATGGGTCTTTGAGATGCTTTCATCTTCTATGTAACCCCAAACTGACATTTTTGTCAATTTCGTCCTTCGCAGTTATTGCATGGTGGATGATCGCAAAAAAAATTACTCCTTGATGAAAGGAATCAGACGGTCTATCTCACATTTCTGAAAATAAACCTTTGCGCCCACACAGCCCTTGTGAACTTATGGGTCCCAAAAATGCCTGTATTCGCCCAACCACGGATAAATCTGGAATTTCTTGAGAAATTTCGAAGAACATTTTAATTTCTCTTCGGTTATCAGTTGAGAGATATATTTCCCATTAAAAAATTTCCTTCCCGGAGCTTCTGGCACGTTTTCAAGACATAAGACTCGTCATCAATGGACATCTTTTTCAGTGAAATTTTGTTTTAAGGCTAAGGAGGTCTTGCGTTTATCATTTTTTCCTGACCTTCGGTATATTTTGGTGCAGATTTTTGTGCAGAAACTTTGACCCACAATTTATGGGCTTTAATATGATACAAGTAGTTTTAATTAATCTTTAATTAACCTTGGCCGCATCAGGCACTGACGTGGAGTGGCACTTTCCAAAAATAAATTCACTCATTTTCACTGTGGACGGGTCGAGATGATGGTTTTCTCTCATGGTGGTGATTAGAAGTTGAAATTTTCGGATTCCCCATATTTTTGTATGTATCTTTTAATTTTTGCACGGCCAGCCCGTTCCTTGAAATATAGGGAGGCATTTTCCGAGTCTTTCTCAAGCAAATTCGGGGACTTACATAATTTTATGTAAGTCATTCATATAAATGAATGAGGACGAAAATAATTTTAAACTAGTTTTAACTAGTTTCGCAGGTTCGCCGCTTTGAAATGGTGTAGGAAACTTATTACTCGTTGAAAACGATTGAAATTTTGAGGGTGCAGACCCGGATGCATTTAGCATATTCTATGAAAACTTCAGATTTCTACACTTGTTTTTCGACCCCTCCCCCACTAAAATACCAAGTGACCGAGTTTTAAGTCCGAGCACCTTATATAATTTAACCATAATTTTCCTATCCATGCAATAATATACATATATATGTATTTCTATAGCATTGTTATATAGGAAAACTGGCGTGACATCATATATAAATATAAACACAGCTACAATCAGGGTTCGCTACCCCGGGTTTTTGTGGGTTGGGGTTTTTGGGGTTTTTGTGGGTTTTTGGGGTATCAAATCTCCGGAAAAACCCTAATGCTTAATGGGGTTTTTGCGGGTTTTTGTGGGTTTTTGTGGGTTTTTCCGGGGTTTTTGTAGGATTTTGAGGTAGATTGAAACAAAATCCCTTAAACTACAACGTAGATCAATGCTAATTAACTTTTCTACTTCATCTTGAAATTTTGAGAATCTTCATTTGCGACTTGAATTTCCAAATATCATTGCATATATCCAGATTTACATGTCAAACATAAATTTTCGATGTAACAGTCCAAATCAATGATAACGGTTAAAATTGCATGTTAAAATTGTATATAAAATTAGTTTATCTCTAATATATAATTTTAGGAATTCTGGTTCAACCTGCCCCAAAATCTACAAAAACCCACAAAAACCCACAAAAACCCAAAAACCCACAAAAACCCCAAAAACCCCGGAAAAACCCCAGGGGTTGGGTTTTTCTACAAAAACCCCGGGGTTTTCCAAACCCTGGCTACAATATTTCGGCATGTATAATTATAACCCCATAAAGTAAAATCACCTAAAAATCATATTGGAAATGGGGAATATTGCGACTAGCATTGAGCACGGTCGACCCGCACGTTAAAAAACAACAGACTTATTTACACACATGTTTACTCCGTCGTGAAAAACGTTACCGATTTTTCTCTCAAATTACAAATTATAAGCAGTCGTCGTCATCGACTCGTTAAAAAAGGTAAGAAAATTAAAATTTATGTCAAACTTATCCTTAACCAAGTAACATTTAACGATGAAGTCCATTAGTTTATAATGATGGGTGATAGCATACGTAATTTATTATCAAAAGGGGAAAAAACTAGATCAAACTTGAAATTAATGGTGAAATATGAATTTGTGAAACGTTTTATATATGTAAATGCTATTTATTTCCTAAAATTTATTACTTGTTTACATACTTAGCGGTCAATTGTTGTAAAAAAAATAAATAATCCCATTTTTCCTTCCTTTAATACTTAGGATTGTCAGGATAAGCAAATCTTCATTTTCGAAAAATGAGTGGAATTGCGATTGGTCGTTTGTCCGAAGAGCGAAAAGCTTGGCGAAAAGACCATCCATTTGTAAGTAGTTAAATTAATTACTTAAATAGTTAATAGCAGAGTAAATGACGGATTTTATTGTATTTCATCTTTTAACAGGGATTCGTGGCCAAACCGACTTACAAAAATGACGGCACGATGGACCTCATGCATTGGGAGTGTGCCATTCCGGGAAAGAAAGGGGTAAATAAATCTGTCATAATTAATTAGCTAATTAATCAGATTTACTTACATTCTTAAAGATAATGCTTAACTCTTAACAAGTCAAGGCACTTGGATTTCTAAATTAAATATGCTAAACTAAATCCAGGGTCAACTTTTTTCTTTATAAAGTTAAAATTACTCTAAATTTGTGTTTGCTTAATATCAGACTAATCGCAAAAATGCAAAATCAGCGCATGTTTAGTCATTTCTAGGAATGTATTTTTGGGAATTTACCTATTTCAAAAATTCTGGATGACAAATTTATAAACCATGTTGCAGGTCGTTTTTAATTTTAAAAAATATATGTACACACCAGATTTTGCCAGTTTTTGTAGTAGACAAAGGTTAAGAAACCTTCAGAAAAGTTGGAACTCGACTAAACTGACGTGCAAATTTGTCGTCCAAAATTTTAAAATAAATTCCACAACGGAGAAGAAATAATTAAAAATGTGCATATTTTGACGATTTACGTAAATGATTAGTTATCCTGTGCAATAATAAATTAGACTTCAGAGCTCATTTACTTTTCAATAAGGTTCACATTATTTTTATGAATGTGAAATTATCTCATTCTTTTTTCAGACACTTTGGGAAGGGGGGATGTACAAATTGCGAATGCTGTTCCGGCCAGAGTATCCAGCCACGCCGCCAAAATGTCAATTCATACCGCCGCTCTTTCACCTGAACGTGTATCCGTCTGGAACCGTGTGCTTATCTTTGCTCGACGAGGCGAAGGACTGGCGCCCTGCGATTACCATCAAGCAGATCTTACTGGGCATTCAGGATCTGCTGAGTGAGCCAAATGTCAATGATCCCGCGCAGGCGGAAGCTTACGTCGTTTTTACGTAGGTGGAAAATTTGAGTGGGAAATATTTTGGAAATATATTAATTGTTTTTTGCATTTTTTGTTATTTACAGTAAAGATCGGACCGAGTACGATCTTCGTGTCCGAGCCCAGGCTCGAATCATGACGCCAGCAAATGATAAGTGAACGGTAAAGAGAATAATTATGAAGGTCACTCTTACATAAAAACGATAAGGGTATTCATTATTTCTTCGTATCCTTATATAGTATACGAAGAAAAAATAAGGGGTCAGGTTTAGTAAAAACCGTAATGTGATTTTTTATGACAAAATCTTGCGACGCTTACAAAATTTAGCAAACTAATTTTACGATACGAAGAAATAGTGAATACCTTGAACAAAAAATTCAGAGTGCATTTACTTTTCAAAATGGTGCCATTATTTTTAAGAGCGTACACATGGATAAATTCGACTTATTGAATAACTGCAGATTTCTAAAATGTTATGTTCTTGATTTTTTTCAGGTGCTGAATCTAAATTTACAATTATTTTCTTCCTCATTCATTTATATGAATGACTTACTTGCTTTATAAACATTGGTTTATTTTATATGTATTTAAATGAAATAAAGGGTTGAGATTTCCCCAAATATTCAAAAGACAAAAATCGTATGGACTACAAATTCATTCCTTAGCAAATATTTCCACATCATTTTCTATCGAAAATCGAATACGCAACTTGCTTATTTCACAAAACGAAGTTCATTTTACATATTTGACCCACCCCAAAAATTGGTACTTATTAAAATAAATTAGCAAAAAAGAGGTACACAAACTTGACGCATTAAAATTAAAACTAACATTTCGCCTTAATCATCCTAAACTTGGACGATGACATTTTACTCGACGCTACGAAATCCAATATAATATTTGTAGATTCTGTGCTTAACTGCAAAAAAGAATTCATAGAAAATATTTAAGGTTGCGTACGAAGTCTATAATTAAATAATTAGTTAATTATTAATCATACACCCAGCCCGGCAATCGTGACCCGGTCCATCTTATCCATACGAGAAGCAGTTGCTTAAACAGAGCCATCTCGTCCTCGGTAAAACTTCGTGTCATCTTCATCCTTTGATAATGACGCGTTTTAATTTCGAATGTTGTAAGCCCTGAAATTTAAGTGGAAAGTTGAAACATGAAAAGAAGTTTGCATACATACATAGGTAGATTTGATTAGAGTAATGACGATGAACGAAATACATATATAAATTTGCGTCCGTATTTAATCCCAAGCTCAAAAATACGCCAAGTATGTAAGCGCCATGTGCCCACTGCGAAGCAGCTTCCTTTGTAAGTTGCTTCACTCATGTTGACGCAGTTTTCATTTTTGACCCAGTTTTAAAAATTGGCATACACTTTTTCATATTTACCGGAGTTTTAAAATTTTGTATGCGGGTTTTCATATGTATATATATACATATTTGTCCCAGTTTAAAAATTTGTACTCACGCTGAAAGAATTCCCTGCCTTGTAAAAGCCCCTGGAGAAACTCCCCCATTTTTTCCGGATACTTCCATAAGGTCACCTTAAAATGTTTTAACCCACTCCAATCCCGACACGCCTCCAGCATAATGTCCATCTCCACTTTGTCCACCTGCCCCCACAACCCCGTCGCGATCCTTTGAACCATCTCCAATCTCTCCAAGTTCGGAAACGCGGTCGCCACTCCGTCCAAAAGTTTGGGATCGTACAGCTCGATAAGCTCCAACTTCCGGACACTTGGCAAAATCATTTTCGCGTTGCAAATTCCTCTTAAAATTGCATCCACACCTCGCAACTGTTTCAGGTCTCTTCCAATCACCAAAGTTTCCAGGAACGGCATCATTTCAATATTCTGCAAGAAGTCGGCACTCCGAAACATTTCGACGATACGGTTGCAAAACTTTCGTAATTTCGGCATCCTTCTCAACAAATTAAATCCGATTGGAGACGAGTTTTTGAAATGGTAGTATTCAAGCGGTCCTAGCAGATCAGTCTTTTGAACCGTGCCAAAACACAGGCTGACCAGTTGGCCATCGACTTGGTGCAACATTTCCGACAGTTTTGAAACGTTTTGCACATCTTCGATTTCAAATGGGTCGACGTCATCCAGCGAAATGTTTAAGGATTCGAGACACTTGGAATTAGCAAAATCTGGGTAGAATCCCCACGGAATTGTGACGCCTCTCAAATTTGGCGAGGCGTTGACCACCAATTGAATAAAATTTGCGAGATCCTTGAGAAATTGAATTTCCGGTTTGCAAATCATGCAAGTGAAGGCGAACACGGTCAAATTCGGTTTTCTTGCCAGAATTCCTTCCCCTCCGAATGGAAACAGATCCACACCGATAGAACGCGCAAATTCGCCTTCAATTCGCAACTGTTTCAAATTGGGGCAGCAATTTGTTAAACCTTGACAAATAGATTTTAAACAATCTTCGTCCCATATGAGAAGGTGTAAAATTTGCACGTGATCACTGAATTTTTCGCAAATGTGCATCAGCCTCGGTGGAGGTGGTCTCTCCTTTAATCCGTTTCGGAAGTCGGGCATTTAATGCGAAACATACTCCGAAAAATTTTACGGCTTCATCATCATCACCGTCATCTCCGTTATGCTCGAGGTTTAATGTAAGTCTCCCATTTGGAAGGGAGAGGACCATATCGTTCCAAAATTGGCAAACTAGTCGACAGATTTTCAATGGGGTAGAGTGGTATTGAAATATTTCGGTCAAAATCTGCAAATTTTGGAAATATTTGTATGTTTAAAATAATTTGGGAACGGTAAATTTTGGACATATTTTCAAATATTTTTGAATCAGGGTTTAAAATTAATTGGCTTACGACAGGATTACTTAGCGCCCTATCCTCCGCGCTTCTATCCCATGGATGACACTCCATTTCACCCGTGTTGAATTATTATAAGCGAGAGAAATTCTAAAAATTTCAACACGGATTTCTGAATTTATAAGTAAATCATGTTATTCTAATTTTTCGAATCATTTTTAATTCTTGAAATATTAAATGCTATCTAGAAGTTACCTTCCTTTGAGATTGATGAAAATTCACGAGGCTTATTAAATTAATTTTAATAACTCCAAAGCGATGTATAAAATATTTGCACTTTTGTTTAATTCTTACTCATATCGTGAACAACTGATGACAGAATTATTTTTTTTCCACTTGCCTCTGGAGGTTGCACATGGTCGTGCATAAAGTATGTCAGCAATTTGTTGTGCGCGATGAGACTATGAGACACAAGCATCAGGTAAAAAATGTCCATTATAAAATCGTTCGTAGCACATTTGGGACCCGATTTGGTAAAATGTAGAATTCTTCCAAAATCCGGCTCGTATGTACAGATATATCTACATACCTATGTAGATGCACATCTCAATTTGAGATTCTCAAATTGAGATTGTCACTGTGTTCATGAAAAATGCTTAGGGGCCCTGCATAAATTATTAAATGCAAAAATGCGATTTTCTAGACTTCTGCCACCTCTATTTATTAACATGTGTCACATTTGCACGATATCATTGAGCCTGTAGACCCACGACCCACTCCCCCTACTTCCGATACATTATGAATGAACGATCCCTACATATTGAAGTTGAATAATTGAACTGAAAGTTATTAAAGGGAATGCACGTACTTATCATAAATAAACGATGCAACAAAGTTAAGTACGGGAGATCATTTCACATTAAATACATATGTGCACTTCAACGGGATAGGATCGTGGAATTAATAAATAACCTTTTCAAGAGCAAATATGTATGTATGTATGTACATGTCGATTCGCAACTCGATAATCTTGAAGCTTGCAAATTTTTCAAACTTGTGAATACATATGTACATGTATTCGTTTATTTTCAATATATTACATACCTATACGAAACACAAATTAAGTACATTGCACGATAAGATATTTGTTCCACTTATTACTCAACTATTAACTATGATAATAAATTCTAATTTTAGTAGCGACTCCGGATCTGAATAATGTATTGTTCTATTAACAATTTCCGAGAACACATTTACTCGTACCAGCGTTAAAGTAGGATCCACTTGGACAGGTCATAACATAGGTGTATAAAGATGCCCCAATTTTGACACATCTGTAGTATTGGCGACAATTGTCGTGCTTAAAGGTGCCCTCGACCTTGCAGGTAAACGGGACTGGAGGGGGCTGTACAGGACCCTGTTAATTATACGATCCAGTTAATACATAATACAGTTTTCTTATATTCTTATTGAGGGTATTCATGATTCTGTAGTGATTTTGGCATCTGTTACATCTCAAAATATGTAATTTTAGCTATATCGAAAAAAACTGCTAGTTCAAAAAGCTAACCTGTCCATTGGCTCAGGTTATTTCGAGTAACGAATCTACATGTAACGGAGTCTACATGAATACCCTTAATGTAATTTTCCTACTTACCTCGACCCCGACACATCTGCCCAGTTGACATTTCTGAAGGGACAAAAATATTTTGAGAATCTGTATATCTAAAGTGTAAATTCTTAGCTTACCCCATTTGCCCCACAGGGAGCCCCATCTGGCCCGGGAGTTCCTAAATCTGTCGTCATAGTACAGCTAGCCATGTCGATGGGCGGGTTGCAAGGCGCGACCCACTGGCACCGCACATTGGAACAAAGTTGATCTGGTCTCGCGGTCGGATCCACGGCGGCATTCGGTCTGCCGATAACGTTCCTACAGATGGCGTTCAAGTCGACCAAATCTCCTGGCAAGTTGGGCGGCGAGCTCCAGGGCGTTCCGAGAAAATTCTTTGTGGAAAGGCAGGACGCTCGGGGTAGACTAACAAATAAATTTCAGTCAGTTAGGGAATTTTTGTGATTCAAACATCGGGGTTAAGTAAGATTATTTTTTGCACGGTCCAACATCTCATGTTGCCCCGAATAGCGTCTTTTAACTAGTGCCATTTATTCTTTAGATTATGCAGTTTTAGCGCGGATTTGCTTACCTTAAGAAATTTTGCATCATTCTTTTACTACATTCGCTAAACCGGAACCGATTTTCCCCACCGAGCGGACCTATGACGGGATGCATAATGTAGCGGTCTTGTTGTGAACAGGCGGCCCCGCCCAACTCGCCGTCATGGTCGGACCCCAACCTGTTAATTTACATATGAATAAATAGACCTGATTATTTCGTTATCTTGGCGAACATCTGCTTCGACTCACTTGTGTCCAAGTTCATGGGCGAGGAGACGGACTCCGATAAAACTGGCGAAACGATCCTGACTGACGGTCCCTTTATAGAGGGGGTTGCACCCTCCGCCCACGAAGGCAATCCCGATCGGCTCCTCAGGCCCGACGGCCTCCGCGGTCATTAAGGCGGCCACGTCGTAACCGGGGTGATTAGCGGCGTTAGCGACGAGGTAGGTATCTGTAAAAGAAGAGAGATTTTTAATGACTAACCGATTACGGTTATCTGTTGGGAACGAATTTGCTTGGCTGCAGGTTATTGTGGATAAGTAATATTTAAGACATTGGTACGTAACTGACTAATTTAAACGTAAGAAATTTCGATACAACTGTCCGTTCAAAAAAATTGAGCCTAAAAAATCTGATAGGTTACCTGGCAGATTTTGTACATGGTACACAAAAATTAATTCAGACAAATTTGAAGACGGTTTTCGGTTTTTTGAACGAACAATATATGTAGATACCAAGATTCTGGCGCTGAGAACTGAGAACCAGAGTACCAAAACTGTGCCGGTTTAAAAACACTATGATGTGTTTTTTAATTGAAATGAGTGCTACTTACTAAAGTCGAAGAAAATTCCCTCCAATGAAACTATCACCCCACCGGCTTTATTATTTTCGACGAACGGTTGGTCGGCGGGAGACTGGAAGAACGGTTGACAAAATTAGTCGGGAATCTTTTTTAAGGAAATTTTGATAAAAAATTTGAACTTCAAGAATTTCTGCCCATACCGTTATAACAATCATTGTGACAATCTGCAGAGTGACGGTTGGATCTGCGTTGGTGGCAAAAATGGAGCTGACTCCCTTAATAAAAAGTGCCTTGTATTCGGCAATTCGGGCAATATCGGCGCCGAAAAGTGTGTAGGTGGCGAAATCGACGAAAATCAGGAGCTCAACGGTGGCCATGGCTTGAATACCGATTCGGCTCGAGGAGGACCTGGTGAAATTTGGTTGAAGCCAGTCCTGTGTGTCGCCAGGAATATTTCCTGAAAGGGTGGTAACAATTTTGAAAATAACGAAAAGCAATTGAAATTTGTCGAATAAATGGACTCAGAAACTATGAATTTCAGGCACAATTATTGACACCTGAATCGGTAACAAATTGTTATCGGGAAGTGTTAAAGGAAACTTAAATTATTTACGGTAGTCGGTCTTCCCGCCTTTGTCGACGTGGTCGGTAACGTGCGAAATTTCATGGGCCCCGTCGACCTTCTTTATTCTCATGTTGCCCACAATTCCGTGCTAAATAAAATATTCAAATTCATAACTAACGAAATTCAATCAGATAAAACTCCGCCTTGATACTCAAGCACATCCAGGGTAACGCGAGATCATCTACAATTTTCTTACCAGCTCAGTCCCATCCTGCCCCACTCTCAGAACTGCTCCATTCTCGGGATCTTCAAATATGGAATTTTCTATCCCCTCCAAAACCTCGACGGGTGGGGTCACATCGGTCTGAATGTTCCCAGAAATCGAGGTAATTTTGAAATTGGGGTGGAACACGGGGGCAACTTGATACGTAATGCAATGAGACAAATTAAGACTGGGTACAAAGAATAATAATTTTTACTAAAAACTTACTCGATTTTTTCAAATTAAGCTGAACGCTATCCCCATTTTCGACATGGATCTGTCCCCTGTACCCGTCCGAAACTTGGGAGAGGTCCACTTTGGCCGAGATTGCGAGAATCCCAGCAGTTAGGGACGAAAATATTAGGAAATTTACGAAAAACATTACCATTTTGGGAGGAGGATAATTTCTCTCGGAATTAGGGAACTGTACCAAAACTTCGTCTCGGACACGGGTTTATATTCAGCTTTATTTCGACACGTTTATATATCACCCAATTAAGCAAAACTTTGTAATTTAGCCGTGATTTAAGACTGGGCGACCAAAAGTATGATTGCGGATGGCCGTGAGAGTATGTGCCATTGTCTCGCGATGTGGTTTACAACTTAAAGGGTTAAAATTGCCCGAATTTATGGCCGGATTAAGATTGTGGAGATATAAATACGCGTTTATTTGTTTGTTGCAACAGATTCGACAAAACATTTTGTTGTGTTTGATATGGAAGAATTCTGAGAAATTAGTTGTAAAAATTTTGCAAGGAAGAGTTTCTCAATTTTAAATCCATTGTGATATGGATATGTAAAAGAGCCGGGTTGAAATGTTAGATTGAGGAAAAATGTGACGAGTTATTTTTAAATTACACCTGCCTCTAATCCAGGTGTGGGTGTCATCAGTGATCGTCTAAGCTTTAATTTGAACGTGCCGTATTGTACAGATTGTACTAATTCGGCAAAAGTTACATAAGTTCTTATATAAATCTGAACGAGCAGCTTGAGCGAGATACATACATAAGTATGTACAACACTGTTAGAAACCTGGTATCGTCAGGACGGATTTGATTCCTCTGTGTTAAAGTCGCTACCAATATGGCTAAGCTTTAATATCTCGAAGCTACTACACGGTATCACTTATCAATACAAATTCGGTCGAGTCATAGATATGTGAACACCGTTTGGTATTATTTTAATACTGGATTTCTAAGTTTGAGCTGTATAAAATAGGAATCTCTCCCAATTAAAAGATTGTAATTTAAGGGACAAACTGCTTCATTTTTGCTATATTTTAATTAAAATTCCATTACCAAAAAGTTCGTGTTTAAGGTTTTGATTATTAATAATTATTTAAGAATCTTTAGATAAGTAATTAATCGATTTTTTTTATATTTCCCGTCGTGAGTGATCCTCTATAAAAAGGACGAGAGTCAAATTTCGGACTTTTCATAAATTATGGTAACGACAACATGCGGACGCAGAAGCTTATGTACATAAATCCAAATGCAATTTCATCATTAGAATGTATGAAAAAATTGCAGTTTACGAAGCTCAAAAAATTTATATGGCTTAGCAAAATACAGGTGACTTAATAAATTCCACAAATCTACTCATAAAAGCACCTACCTATGTTGATCTTTTTTCCATAATTTTTCTCGCTCGTTTCGTGGAGGATCAGTTTGCGAAATGACTTTGAGAAATAGGTATGCCCAGTTATTAGATGGGAATTATTTTTCCAGCAAAACGTTTGCGAAACGATTTTACAAATCTATCGAAACGATAGACATTTCGTCAATTATATTGCTGTTTTAAAGGCGCTAAATTTGTGAGATAATTATGCAAAAGTTGGCGTGAGTATCCCCCAAATTGATAGTAATTGATATAGCATAGAGCAAAACTAATTCTTAAACCAAATATTCACATAAATAACATGACTGAATAACACTACCCATTAATTTAACATGATTATACACGTCAAACTTGTACTAATCCGACCCACCTATCTACACATTTTACTTAATTTCATATCTACATGTTGGTATTTACATATTTATGTAAATACATATGTACACGACAGACGAGCAAAAAACGTAGCCAAGCTCATGATGACTTGTGATGAGTATGTGATGTACAACGTATCACACTTTATAAATACATACGACTTATATACATTTTTGTGCCAAAAATCTTCCCAATAACCTGGACGCAGTCACAGCAAAAACTTCTCTGCCCATCATCATCATCATGATCATCATGCCGGCTTATACATAATTCACAACATCTACATATGTATGGAACTTGCTTATGAATTGCATACGTATGTACATACATGTGGTAATAAACAATTTGCAAGTTTTTGCACATGTCAACGTATTTATGTATATCCTTCTCTGCTGGAGTGTCCTCACAATCAAGATATTCCACCCCTCGCAAAAAGTGAGTCACGAGCATGAGGAATATGTATTCTTAAACTGTATATAATAAGTCGTACAGATTTGTAGGAATTTAGGTAAGTGGAATATTCCTAGCAGACCAAACTTGATCTGAAGTCTTGAAGATCTTACACCGTGTTTTATTACCATGTTATCCGTGACTTTTGTGCGACAGTGAGTCCATCATTTTAAAAATAAGCTAAAAACGTTTTTTTGCACTTTGTTGCCAAAATCGTACATACGTCAAGCTAAAATACAATTTATTGCAAAAATTACTAATTTTCAAACCATCCAAATATTTTTTTATCCTAGTGGAGAAACGGTGGCAAATGTGGGTCGCATAATACAAGGCCACTCCCATGGCGAACTGACAGAAAGAGGTATTTCCATGGCGGAACATTTAGGTCGTCACCTCTCCGAGGAGAAATTCACCCGGGTTTTTTCCTCCGATTTGAAGAGATGTCACGATACGACGCGGCACATCTTAAAGCACTCCAGCGATGGAGACGTACCAGAAGATCTTATCGTTTTGGACCAAGTCCTGAGAGAAGTGGTGTGTGATTTCAAAAAATTATATCACGTAATTTGCACGTATACGTTTATATGAAAAGCTTTGCAGAAAGCGTACACTCTTAGAAATTCAGGATTAAAATAAGACCAAGCGGTATTCATATATTTATGACGCTATAAAAGTGGGACTGATAAGAAATACGATGATAGCTCGATATTAAGGTTTTACCATAAAATCAGCTAATTTTTAGGAACCTTTTTTTTACAATTTTAATCCCACGTGGTAGCAACTATGTATGTACATATGTATGTGATACCGGGCAATAAATATCTACCTGCGTGACTCCACAACATTTTTTAGCAGTGTAGCACAAGAATTTGGTTTTACAAATTGTGAAAATTTTTTTAGCGAAGAAATTTACCTTACAAAAATTATTTTTTTCTTAGTGTTGCGGTGACCTTGAACTCCAGCCGGAATCGGAACTACTGAAGATTTCACGCCAGACCGGACTTTACTTTCCATTCGTGCAAATTCCGGGTGGCGAAAGCTTTCAAGATGTGAAAGCTAGGACGGGAGAGTTCTTTAATGTAAGGAATTTTATGTAAAACGCGTACCCGTATTATAATAAAATACGGCTATGAAATTATATACACTAAAAAATAACGTTACTTTTTAACAAAATTTCTGGATTTCACATTAAGTAAACTAGACTTAACCTAGCGTTAACGTGATAAAGAGTAAAGTTTGCTCCAGCCAGATTTACATATTGTAGTTTCCTTACTATTGAATTTATCTAGATTGTACACTCTAAGAAACCCGGTAACTTAGTTATCACCAGGCGGAGTATCTACGTCACTCTGCCACGGCTCCCCGACAGCAATGCTCCAGACAGATATGCTTCCGGCAAGTATGCGCGGACAAGAATGCTCCCGGACAGAAATGCTTCCGACACAAATGCTTCCGTCAAATATGCTTCTTGACACAAATGCTTCTTGACACAAATGCGCCGACGTAAGTACTGCACAGTAACTCCTACCAGCAATTATCTCCTACCCGTGATATTATTTAGCCAAGAAAATAAACACCTTATATAATTGTGAATGATGCTCTGCATTTTCTTTATAATATTCTTCTTGGTACATATTTAAAAAATCAAAGATTTAAATAAAATTAAAAATATCCTCAATCAATAAAATTAAAAATATAATCAATCAATAAATTAAAAATATCCTCAATCAATACATTTAAAAATATAATCAATCCATAAAATTTAAAAAATCATCAATCAATAAAATTAAACATAAGTCAATAAAATTAATCTCATTTAAAGACAATGCATTGAGCCACTCCACGATTTTTTCGAATTTTATTGATTGATGATTTTTTTAAATTTATTGATTGATTATATTTTTAATTTTATTGATTGGGGATATTTTTAATTTTATTTAAATCTTTGATTTTTTAAATATGTACCAAGAAGAATATTATAAAGAAAATGCAGAGCATCATTCACAATTATATAAGGTGTTTATTTTCTTGGCTAAATAATATCACGGGTAGGAGATAATTGCTGGTAGGAGTTACTGTGCTGTACTTACGTCGGCGCATTTGTGTCAAGAAGCATATTTTCATATTTTACGGAAGCATTTGTGTCGGAAGCATTTCTGTCCGGGAGCATTCTTGTCCGCGCATACTTGCCGGAAGCATAACTGTCTGGAGCATTTCTGTCACCAACTCCTCTGCCACATGGTAATTTATTTATTATTGAGTGGTAGACATTTTGTTACCAAACCGGTAATAACCCCGGTCGCGAAATTTGAAAATATTACCAGGTGGTAACTAATTTTCTACCACTCAATAATAAATTATTTACCATGCGGTAGAGTCACATAGATACGTACATACTCCGCATGGTATTAATAATTACTTATTGTTAGTTACCAAGTTTCTTAGAGTGTATTAACTTTTCAAAAGGAGAACATTATTTTTAATAGGGTATTTACATATTTGTTTGCATAATTTTTTCAGCTGCTTTGCAAACTCGTCGACGCCACGGAGGGCGGAGAGGAGAATGTCCTTGTAGTGACGCATGGGGGTTGGTTGATGTGTTTCTTGCACTGTTTGGTGGACCTTAAGAAAACCGAGGCCATTGACCTTATCGATTTTGAAGAGAAATTTTGCCGCTTGCGGGCACATAACACGGCCACGACCAAGATTACAATCAACAAGTTGGGTGACAACGATAAGAGGAAAGTTGTCATGAAGCAGGTCCATGCCACGGAACATTTACCGGAACATTTAAAGTAGAAATAGAGGGTACTTTCTTTAACCAGGTGGTTCTGTAGATATTATTACTTGCATACCTACTTGACCATAATTTTACAAATTTTGCAAATGATCAAGTAACTAATAAGCAATTTTATGTTTGTACCGATTGATAATATTTTGTACTGATGACAGGCCTTTAAATAGGAAATATAATATCTTTGGCTGATCAAGACTTGCATGTGCATGTATTTTAGTATGCACATATTTCATGCATGTATACACATAATATAAACGAAGTGTAGAAACTTTGAATTCCTTCCACTACCATTGGAACCTGATTGGAAACAAATAGGTACGGGAAAGTGTTAAGTATTAACACTAATAAAATCGTCCTAACGACTGTGTATGCAAATGTGGAACCTACCTAAAACCCCACGGCGTTCCTGAATTTTTTTTACTCTCGCAAAGTTATTTTGCCCTTCGCAAGTTTTCGAGATATGCGAAGATTGTCGTGAGAACGTTCAATGTCAAATTATCAAGATGTGAGATCCCAAAGTCAATACAAAAAGAGGAGAAATTTTAGGAAAATATTAGCTGTGCTGTGGGAAAAGTGCAAATTCTAACTAATGTACTTCGTTTAACCTATATAAATATGTATGATGATAAATCGTCAGACATGCATTTAATTATTTATGCAAGATATAAAATAATGCATGATTATTGTGGCTTTATCAAAATCGGAGCTATGTAGACCGCCGCTGGCGTCATCGCATTGTACGTGACACCACCCACCCATTATTTCAAAACATGATCATGCACGTCAAAGTCTAACTAATCCGACCCATCTGCATATTTAGATATCTATAAAGATAAATACACGTGCAAAAAAGGTGACCAAACCCGTGACAGAGTAAGTAAGTATGTACATAATTTATACATTTATACGTTTAATATACGTCTTTGCGTCAAAAAATCTTCTCAATAACCTGAACAATGGCTAGAGCAAAACAAAACTCCCATGTCCATCATCATCATCCTCATGATGCATATTTGTCTGTGATTCGCACGATATATATGAATGGAACCTGCTTTTAATAAATGCATACATAGTTTAGTTACAATGTTTCACTCCATAACTAAATATGCATATCCTTCCCTGTTAGAGTTTCCTCACAATCAGCGCATTCCATTCCTCGCAAATAAAACGAGTCACGAGGATGACCAATGTTCCCACGCAGTATAAAATAAGGCGTACAGATTTGTGCGAATTCAGTGCAATCTAATCTTCCTAGCTACATAGCTAGAGCCCCAAAATTTCTGTAAATTATTAGAAATCTTACAAGTTGTATTGTCATGCTGTCAGTCACCTTTGTACGACAGTGAGTCCGTCATTTTAAAAATATCTTATAAAACTTTTAGCGCACTCTTAAAAATGTTCTTCTTCTTTTGAAATCCAAATGCATTCTGACTTTTAAATTGAGTAAACTATACTAAATGCTGAGTAAGCTCTACCCTTAATTCACGCTACTCTGGAGTTAATGTAGTTTGCTTAATTTATAATTCATAATGCATTCACTTTTCAAAAAGGGAACATTATTTTTAAGAGCGTACTTTATTGGGGAAAAAATCGACTTAAAAACAATTATTTCGTAAAATATATTTCCAAATAAACCGTAGTAACGTTAGAAGTAGCTCACCCTGCAATAATTTGAATATCACTTTGCACCAATGGTGCCGAATTAGCCGACAAAATAAGCATTTGCAGGGTGAGCTAATATGGTTTTGATTTAAATTCAGACCAAAGGTGCTGAATAACCGCAAGTATAAAATTTATATGTTTTAGCATCAATGGTGCAGAATAATGGAACAAATAGATGTAGAATTTTCAAAAAATTTTGCAACAATGGCGCAGGATAATCAGGTAGAATACCTAAATACAGGTCATGTAGTTTTGCACCAATGGTGTAGAATAAGGCGACAAAATAAATATCCAATTTTGACATAATTTAAATTTTTTGTCAAGAAATCATGATTCCGTAGTGTCAAATTTTTGTTACTATTTTCATCAGTTATTCTGCAGTTTTGGTGCGGTTCGCACCGATTCCCCCAATTGTTTCGCATCAGTTTAAATAACCGATTGTTCGGTACCAACGGTGCTACCTATTCCAAAATTGTAGTCCTTTCTCGATCTATTTTGCACAATTAATTCGCACAATTTGCGCCACGGATTGTTCGACCCCAATGGTGCGTCTAATTTATTCAATAATGGTCATGGGGATTATTAATTAGCATCAATTGATGCAAAAAACTCGTGAACACACAGACAGACGGACGGACGGACAGGAGGAATTCAATAGCTCTCGTGCTACGCAGTGTGAGCTAATAATTCAAACTTTTCTTATCCTAGTGGGGAGACGGTCGGCAACGTGGCCCGCATAATACAGAGCCACACCCATGGCGAACTGACGGAGAGGGGTATTTCCATGGCGGAACATTTAGGTCGCCATCTCTCCGAGGAGAAATTCACCCGGGTTTTTTCCTCCGATTTAAAGAGATGTCACGATACGACGCTTCACATCTTGAAGCAATCCAAGGATGCTGACGTGCAAGAAGATTGCATCGTTTTGGACCAAATCCTGCGAGAAATGGTGCGTGAATTAAAAAATGTATACAATTTGCAAATAATTTGCATATTAGTATTCATGAATACATACATACGTAGATAAAATGATTCCGAAATTTACAGATAAAATTATAATTGTCCTCGTAAAATTTCACCTCCAAATTTCCTTTTTTCCAGTTTTGCGGTGATCTGGAGCACCAACCGCAATCGGAAATGTTCAAACTCTTTAATCAGACTGGACTTCACTTTCCACACGTGCAAATTCCGGGTGGCGAAAGTTTCCAAGATGTGAAGGCCCGGACAGAAAAGTTCTTTAACGTAAAGAATTTTATATTAAACCTGTGCCTACATACATAGTTAGTTGGTATGGTTTGGTTAAATGAAATTCTACTGGGTCGGCAAAAGGTGGGTGAAAGTGTGCTAAAAGAATCTTGCATTTTTTGCATGGAATACAATTTTATGTTTAATTTGATGCAATTATTCTCTATGCACGCTTAAAAATAATGGTACCTTTTTAGAAAATAATTGCACTATGGCTTGATCTTGAGTCTATGTTAAGCAAAATATACTAAATCCTGAGTAAGTTTAATAGGATTTAGTGCATTTTACTTAATATTGATTTGCAACTTTATTTACTTTTCAAAAGGATTACATTATTTTTAAGAGTGTAACATAAAGCTTAAACACATGAATTTGATATACTTTTTACGACATTATCTTCACAGATGCTATGCAACCTTGTCGATGCCAAGGAGGGCAGGGAAGAAAACGTTCTCGTGGTGACGCATGGCGCCTGGCTGATGTGTTTCTTGCACTGTTTGGTGGACCTTAAGAAAAACGAGGCCATTGACCTTATCGACTTTGAAGAGAAATTTTGCTCCATGCCGGCACACAACACGGCCACGACCAAGATGACGATCAACAAGCAGGCTGACAACGGGAGGAGAAAAGTTGTCGTGAAACAGGTCCATGCCACGGACCACTTACCGGAAGATTTAAAATAGGGGTTTCTTTCTTTGCCCAGTTAGCTCAACAGATTTACACTTATTCACTGTAATTTGTCAAATTATGTAAATTAAAAAATAACTACATGCATAATATGCAATATTACGTACCAATTGTTTGTGACAATTAAGAAATTTTTTGGCCGATTATGTAAGACTAACTCCACGTAATGGAAACCCAGTGATAAATATGATTAATCAAGTTCACTTCAACATTACCTTGACGACTTAATAAGTAAATGAAGAAAGTTTCTAAGTATTTATGAGAGATTCGACAAAAATATGAAAATACATTTTTCAATTCTGAGTTCCCGAGAGAAATAATACAATTGTAGCATTAACTTTAATTGCTCCAGTTTATTATACAATAGGTATATATTATTTTATTGTATCTAAAAATAGAATAATGCACCAATACTTTTTCGTGTAAGATTTCTATTGAAAAACCATCAAAATCTAAATAAGTATATGTGTACCTTTCAACATGAAGCACTTTACATTCATGTTAATTAAATAATTGAGCGGATTAATCTCGCCACAAAAGGCGAAGTAGATATTTACTCAGGTTTTGCATATTGGATTTATGTATGACGGCTTTACGGTGGTGAAGAATGCATATGTACGTATGTACATAAATTGCAAGCGCTTTTCCAATATGTTATTTATGTACACATGAACGCAAAAGGTTACACTCTTAGAAATCCAGTATTAAAATAATACCAAGCGGTGTTCATACATATTTGGCTAAAGTGGAATTGATAAGTAATACGGACCATGTATGCATGTATGTACACTATTAGAAATATGTATGGTTTACGATTATTATATACCAAAATATTAACGTATATGACTCTACCGCCGTGGTCGTGGTTATGAATTTGTCACCAACTGGTTATCAATTTATTAGCTCCAGTGACAATTTAATACCAAGTCGATGAAACTTTACAATTAGTCGGTGATAATTGTAACCACTCGATGACAAATTTATAACCAAGGGGATAGAGTCACATATGTAGGTTTACTTTTATGTTAAATCGTAACCCTATTTCCAAGAGTGTAGTAATATATCGATATAAAAGGATTACCATATCGGTAAAGCATATTCTTAGGGACGTGTATAATTTTAATACCAAGCGGTGGCAATTCTAATTCCGAGAAACCAATACCTGCGTTACACACTAAATATACCAGGTTTCTAAAAATGCAAATACATAAATTGAGGTACGTGATACATAAACCGCAACTGGGCCCACTTTTACAAATGCACATGTATGGAAATCTACATTTCTGGCAACCTAAACAAATCTGCAAATGTACGTAGGTATCAGTAGTTATACATACATACGTATTCTCAGCACGTACACACATTTCTCAGTAAAATGCACATAAGATTTGTTTGGACAGACGAACACATTTCTGAGAAATTTTTCCTACACATTTGCATGCTTGCTATTTTAACCACACACTGTAAATAACCTACCTTACATAATCTCAATTGCGCATAAAATCTCATTTTTCTCAGACTAATAGACTGCGCAACTGCACAAAATACAGGGTACTCTAAATACGTTACACCTTTAATAAAATAAATACAGTTATTTTCCATTCATGACTTCCTCGAAGGTATTAACATGAAAACCAGTGGTGACACAGGTGTGCTAATAAGTAGTATAGCACTGTTTAAATTCCCCTAGGAAGATAGACTTCTCGAATTTCAATCTGTCGCTTTGAAATCAGCTTCAATTCACGGCCCCATAATTTTCAAAATGTCTGGTACACTTAGAAATTTTTGTTCCATGAGGTGTAACCAGTACTTGATTTTTGTCACAAGTCTATTTTTCTTCTGGTTTTTCACCTTCGCAGCAAATCCCATCAACTGGGACGGCAATATTGTGTAAGTTAAGGAATGTTCACTCATAAAAATAATGTTACGCTTTAGACAACAATTAAACTCCGATTCGAAAAATGTTAATTAAACCACATAAATATACTAAATCCATTTTAAACTTCACGCCTGATTAAGTTAAAGTTACTCTGGATTTAGTAAAGTTTAATACAAAATTTCGAATGCGTTTATTTGTTAAAGAGGTGACATTGTTCTTAAGGGTGTAGCGACATATTTTGTATGTATAAGTGTATGTCTAATTTGGCGAAATAACTTGCAGTACTACTCCGCCGGCAAAACCTAAATTAAATTCCGTTACGGACAAATCGTACTACGTAACGTCATCTGTGTCTGGGAACGCCTTGACACCTTTAATAAAACCGCACGGTGTCCTACTCGAAGTTAAGGGTACCATTGGTGACCAACTTTTTGAATATGCTTGTCACTACGGCCTCGCTCGGAAACATAACGTCCCGCTCTACATCAGAGGACCGATTAGCTCTTTTTTACCCGGCAATACGACAGGTCACCTTGCCCCATCCCTTGGCGCGTTTAAAGTTCCGATCCATTCGTGGAACACGATCAACGAATCGAATCCCTTAGCAGACTTAAAACTCGTTCACATTTCCAGCTCGAACCTCCTTTCGCAAACTTATTCCACTATTTGGCTCAAAGATTCTTTCCTGAGTTTATCTCAGGGGGAAAATTGTCGCTCGGAAATTTATTTTGCCCCGTATAAGAATGAAGTCAAATCTCTGTTTGCCCCGAAGACAAACTCAACGGGGGCGGCGCTTTGGTGGGGACAATTTATCGAAATGGAAGGTCAAATCGGGGAAACTGTAGCAGTTTTTCTTGACCCGGGCGACTTTCATCAAGAAAACGACCCACTCTACTATGCTTCCGGAATTTCTGAAATTTTGAGGACATTAAGAGACCGGAACAATGATAAAATTGGTCCAATTTCAGTTTACGTTTTTGGGGACGATTTAAATTTCCTACGACATAAATTGCTACGTAAACTGAATCATTCCCGGGACGATTATAGTTTCCACGTTGTATCAAATTTGACGAAATTACAAGAATTTCAAGTGGCCACGAAATGTAAGCATTTTATCATTTCGACGCGCACTTTCTCCTGGTGGGTGGCTTATCTCGCAAAATGGGAAGACAAAATTGTGATAGCGCCCCACTGGAGTATGACTGCGGCAAAAGTGTCTCACTTTTCGGATGATTTGGAGTCCGAGTTGTTTTATCAAATGCAATATCGATACTTGTACTATCCTTTGGAGTGGAGGACTATTCAGTAACTGTAAATATTAGTGTCAATATTTGTTCTAAGGGGGCGATCTTAAATTATATGTAGCGCAAAACTGCTGTTGAACTAGATTTAATACATTTCATTAAACTAAAGAAATCTGTCAGAAATTAATTTAATTTTTTTAATGGTAGCATTATTTATGGAATTCTTTTAGTAAGAAGTACTGATCAAATCTATCTTTTATCAATAATTTTTAAAATGCTTCTAAAATGTTACCATTAAGGAATTTTGTCGTATGCATATTGTTCTTACCGTTATTAAATTAGCTGCGCGGAAAAACTAAGAAACACCAACTTTTCTCGTAATTTACGAGTCGTAAATAAATTTCGGTCTGCATTAATCAACCTGTACCTAAGATTGCAAAGTAAAGGAAATATTAATCAATGTACCTATCACACAGTTATCATTTTCTATACACTGATCGTGACCGGTAAATAACCGAATTAACAAAATACAAGCTTATCGATGTTTTTCCATTGCGTCATTCATGATCCATCTTATGCGATTGCCATGACAGGTTCAAGGATAGGATATTTTTTGAACGTGCTTAATCCCTACATATATTTATTCTGAAGTAGTGTTTACGTCCATCAGTTTCACTTTCTGACAGTTGTCAGTTTAAATGCAGTTTAAATAGAGAGTTGTCTCAATCGATCAAAATTTTTGCTCGGGCATAAATTGATGCTCCAGTTTTTCCGTTATATTTGTATCCAGCCTGGCAAACTAAAGATAGAAAAATACAGAAATGTGTGAAGAAATTACGGTAAGAAAAATAGAAGATTTGTTCAGGTAAAATATATGTTTTAATACCCGAATCAGGCATACGGAACCGGCATGCCCGTCCGTCCGTCCGCCAGGCTGGCACGGTTAGGCTAAAAGTGGTTCAACCGGTTGACTTATAATTTGGACTATATGCATAAATACGTACATATTTGGGAAAGTTGAGCAACAACTGTGCAGTATATTTCAAAAATTGTCAGGATGTGAGATCGTATAGGAAATGATGATCCACCCTTATTTATTTTGAAAGATGGTGATAACAAATCGAAATTTGTCATATTCACAGTTCTAAAGTATGCAGGTCACAATTTACCCAGTACTCCCTTAATTAGTGTTACAAGAACAACTTGTTGTAGCGAACCCAGTTTATCGAATTTGGAAAAAATAAGTCCAGAACTGAAAAGCCAATGAAATTTCGTGTAGGAAACACTATTCACGTATCAAATTGTCAATCTTATAAGGCGACGCGAGCCGGGAGTCTTGGTATCAAACACTCGATCGGAGTACGCACGCGTTCTAACGGAGATTGACCTCATTTCTATACTGTTGAATTTTTTATGGATTCCAGACTTGTGTGGGGTTTAGCACAGGCACCTAGCTCCAGATTTGAAAATATATCATATTCCAACAGGGTTAGGTTCGGCGACAGTGAATTTTTTTCTTGATCCGAAATGGAGTCAGGAATTTACGATTTTTACCACTCAATTAATATTTTGATCTCATGAGCAGGACCCGAGCCTTGTTTGAAAGTCGTGGCGCTATTTTTGTATAGGTAGTGGTTCAGTGGTTCCACAATTCGCTCAAGAACTTGCAAAAATTTTTTTGATACGAAATTTCACCCCCAGAGGAAGAAAATACACTTTTTCGACCCAAACCAACTTATGTCCAATCAAAAAATCGTAAAACCAGGATGGTAAGTACGATCAACATTTTTGAAATTTTTACGAATAGCCCAGACTTGTAGCGTGTTGAAACGGTATTTTTGATATTTTATTTGGCCTCACCCAAAAATGTGGCTGATGTGTTAAAAATATCCGTTTCCAATTGTCAAGCGCGTACCGCATGATCAGCGCCCGGGTTCTGATGGGTCTGTTTTTACTTTGCGTGTAGCTAGGAAGTAGTTCTCCTCAAATCTTGAAGTCCAAGGTTTAGTTTAAGGGCTCGGGACTTACTTTTACTTCATCCGTTCATTTGTGAATGAAATTTTCTTAGAGCTCGGCATGAGTTCGGAGGAATCCATTTTTTCGTGACTTGGTTAATTTTGATGACCTTTTTGACCGTCTCCCGCCACTTCTTTTTTGGTCATCGACACTATTTGTGTCAGTGCACCATGTCATGGTACGGTCGACCACCTTGCAATCAATTCCGATTTTTATAGAGCAATTTAAAAATGTCGGATTTTTTTGTTTATCAAAATGTGGTTGAAAAATTGCAACACGCCATGTTTGCTGACCTATCAATTTGGTACCTTGGGACACAAAAGTTTTTGAAACATGGTTTCTGACGGACAATTGCATGGGGATTTAAATAAAAAATAGTACAACTTTCCAAAAAATTGTCTTGCATGCTTAATTTACCCGGAAAATCTTGTAACAGCTATTGAGGGAGTACTAGGTAGTGAAGATACATACACTTGATACGATAATTTTTTATTTAACACATGTACATTGGTTGGCCGGTGACGATAAGCCTTACTCGGAAGAAATAATGTCTAGACGTTTTTATTTATGTACATATTTGTTTGAACAAGGAATTTGAATACATATGGTTTATTTGATCTGTTTCTACAGGTCGGATACGAGACGGGATATCCAAACGATGGGATGGAAATTTCGTTTCTACAATATTTCAAAAATATAATGACCGATTTGGAATTTTCCTTGGGGCTCTGGTAACATATTTACATATTAGAAGACTTTGAAAGAAGGATATGAATTAAGTATATTTATCAAAGTTGGTACACTGAACGGAAGGAGTGTACATATGAATGTATGTGGTTTTATCACAATGGCGATAAATTGTCACCCTTTGGTGACATCAGGGCGATATGACAAAGATCGTCAGCATTCCGGTGAAGCCACATATTTATGCACACCACCCCGTGACAATCGTCACCGAAATTTGTCATCGAAATGTAAATTAGTGTCCGCAAAGAGTCAAAGTTATGTATATATATTGCCAGAGGGATTCGGTGTGTAATTTAAAAAATCTGAATAATTCACTTTTTGCTCCTACAGCCAGAAAAAAATCGTCGTGGACATTACTGAACAAACGAAATGGGGAAATGATTCCACATTGATAAAAAAGATTCTTTTCATGATCGCGAATTCCGAGGTGGATCTGATTTCGACTTATGTCCCTCTCACGAATATTTTATCGACTAGGGTTGCAAAAAATGTGAGCTTTTTACAGTCAACAATTCCGAATGCGGGGTACGTCCAATTCTAATTCGAGCTAAATATAAAATAAATTTTATAATTTTTGAATCCGAAGCAATTTTAATCTCAATTTTTATAATGGTTTTAAACAATTCAAATCTAGGAGTGAACTCATTTTCCGACAACCACGAATTCATCGGATCAGAAGCATCTACTGGGAACCATTCCCATTAGAAATTTGGTTAATTTGGATACTCCTACTCGTATTAATTCATTTGTTAGTCCTTCATAAGACGAAATACGCGGGTGAAGTTGTTATGAACTTTTTCTCCGACTTGAGTAATCAAGGTGACCAAAATTATAAATAGCGAGTTTAAGGTAACATGAAATTAAGAAAAATTGTGTAAATTTCGTGCATTTTAGGATATTCAATGCCTGACAAAAAGTTGACTTTGATTTCCTGGTTGGGATCGATTTTGTCCACATGTCTCCTCTTCGTGTACAGTGCCAGCTTATATTCTATCATTACCGATGCTAGAATCCCGGTTAAAGATGTCAACGATTTGTTGAGACATTCTTATTCCTTTCTGACACACGAGTTTAGCCAGACTGGGCGGAAAGAATTTATGGTAAGGTTCAACAGAATGAAAATAAGAACGTTCTTCCCGTCAAAATTGGTTAAAACGATAGCCAAAAAAAGTTTCTCAAAAATTATGCAAATTTGTCCGGCACACATATTTAAATGCTCGGAGTTTTAATTAGGAAGTCTGTACTCACTCGCTACCCGCAGAGAAATTACACGGAAATTAGAGGAATTTAATATTCCCAGTAGTATTTTCGGACATTCATTTTATAGAAATATGTACTTGAGTTAAAAATTAAATTCAATGTTTTCAGACATTTAAATCATTTCAAATTGCGATACTTCTAATTATAAGGAATAATCAGCAAATTAATGTATTCTCTTAATTGAATTTTATATAGCTGCTAAAGAACAGCTACAATTTTTCGCAAGAAGTCGTCCTTACCACGGATACTGATTCATTGATGAAGACCCTTCTCGATGGGGATAAGAAGATGGCGTTAATTTTAAATTGGGGATATTTTTATCGCATCGCGAAATTGCATCGTTACCACGAAAGTTTGATTTGCGAAAGTTTTACGAGATTCGCGTTGCCCGAGGCGAAGAGGAGTATTGGTTTGATTGTCAGGAAGGAATGGGAACAAAAGGAGGGGATCAATTTGAAGTAATTTTTGTAAATCAAAAATTATATTTTTTGAGGAGTACACTCTAAAAAGATGATGTTACTCTTTTGAAGAGGAAATGCACACTTAATTTGACATTTACTTTTCAAATGTTGGTTTTAAAAGTGTAATTTCAGCGTAAATTATTTTAACTCTACTAAGGCGTTCGTTCAAAATTTTTTAGTTAAAAGTTTAATAATTCTTAATTTAGATTGCTCCAAATGAAGGAACGCGCCCTAGTCGGGCATCACTTGGGTGTGCGAAATGAGCTGTTTTATGCGAAATCTAAGGAGCATTGCAGTTCAGGAAACTACATAAAATTGACGTCAATGGAGGCAAGGGAGACTTCGTTCGTCTCTCTGATTTCCTTAGTTGGAATATTTGCCTCAATTTTAGTTCTTGTAGTGGAACTAATTGTTGGCAAATATTACCTGTTAATTGTATTCATGATCAAGTTCACATTTGCAAAATTAGTGGATAAATTTTGTGCGACATTCAAATCCACGCATAAAATATTTGTCTGGTAGAAAATATTTGTATTTTTACGCTACAAAGATGTTTTTAGGCACAAAAATGATTTTGTATGTAGACAGAGTTATGCAAACTCGACATTAAAAAATAATAGTTCTAATTGTAATCTATGGGGATTTGAAGGCTCAATTTTTATTTACTTTGTTTGACAATAACTATTATTTTATTTATTTTTTAAATTTTTTATTATGTTATATTTAATACATTTTCAAAATTGACGCAAATAAATCAATTGAAATATCAGCTTGCCTCGCTCTCTACAAGGGCGTCCTTCTCTCCACTGGATATATCCCCTCCAAGACTACGGTCTTGATTAATCAATCTGTAGTGGCCATTCTTCCTTTCATATCGAGTGGACGGAATGGGTTTGCAGTAATTTGATCTCCGTATTTTATTGTTGCAAAAATTTGCAGTATTCTCTTTGGCTGTTGAAAAGAGGGAAACTTATTT